GGAGGACAAAGCTAGCATGGTATTGCTATGCCTGGATTTGCTGCTGCAGTGCCTCAGTTCCCTCTCCCTGCTCCCATCAGGAACAGCCCAGAAGCTTCTCTTCTTCCCCTGAGCCCCCGTGGTTGTCCCTGCTCTCTCCCATGCTTGTGACCATCTGGTTTTACTTCTTCCCTGCTTTCTGCTCTTCCCCCATCGTTCTGTGATTCCCTTTCTCTCTCCCTCTCCTCCTTTCTTTCTCCCCAGGTCTGGCGTGCTTTGGGCCCCTTTTGTGAGGTAAATGCATCCTTCACTCTTCTTGTGTCTTTGCCCTTCTGCCTGCATGCACCAACCCACCTGCCCTGCAGCAGGGCTGGGTCTGTGGACACCCCTTCCCCACAGCTGTGGGGAACACAGTGGGATGGGAGACTCCCATGCATGGGAGCCTCAGTCCCATGTCCCCAGGGAAGGGGAGGCTGGAGGAGGAAGGACACGCACACCCTGATCTGCAGCCATTGCCCAGCCTCAGGTTCCCCTCTCCTCTCTGATAGGTCCTCCCAGCCATGGCCAGCAAGTGTATGGGCTGCACGCAGCTGAGGACGTCGGCTCCTGCCTGCAGTGCCCTTTTCTACAGCTGAACTAATAAGGGTTTTCTTCCCTAGTTTCTTTCTGAAGTTTTCCTATTGGCTTCCAAACAGGAGATCAAGAAGCTCAAGGAACTGATGAGTGCAACGGAGAAGATCAGGAGGGAAAAGTGGATTGATGAGAAAACCAAAAAGATCAAAGAGATCACCGTGAAAGGTACAGACACATTGGATAGAGATGGAACACAAGAAAACCCATGCATGTCTTCCCTTCCCAACCCATCCATGCCATTGTGGCCAGAGCTGAGGCACCCGCAGAGCTCTGGGTTGTGCTGAGCATCCTCCCTACTGCCCCAGGGCTGGAGCCAGAGATCCAGAAGCTGATCACCAAGCACCGTCAGGACATCCAGAAGCTGAAGATGCTGCATGAGGCCGAGCTGCTGCAGTCAGACGAGCGGGCAGCACAGCGGTACTGCAGGCAGGCAGAGGAGCTGCGAGGGCTGCTGGAGCAGCAGAAGGAGGAGCAGAGCCAGCGGGAGCGGGAGCTGGCCCGGCAGCGGTACGTGGGGCTCATGGCATCGGGGTGGCATCCAGCACCCACCCACAGTGCGTTCCTGGTGCTGTCAGCAGTTGGCATCCACGTGGGGCAGCTCCAGGAGGTGGTATCTGGGCATCTTCCAGAGCTGTGTTGGGTGGCATACAGGGCAGGGTGGAGGGAAAGCCCTGCAGCTCTGTGCTGGGGGCCCAAACACCCTGAGCCTGGCACCTTGCTGAGACCACTCTGCCCCCAGGTGTGAGAAGCAGCTGGAGCAGGAGGAACAAGCACTGCAGCAGCAGCGGCGCCGGCTCTACGCTGAGGTGGCTGAAGAGAAAGAGAGGCTCAGCCAGCAGGCAGCCAGGTGAGAGCTGGGGCTGGGGGGCAGCTTTGTGCCTTGTGCCGTGTCTCCCTGGCATGTTGTGAGCTGTGGGCTGTGTGTGGGCAGGCAGAGAGCGGAGGTGGAGGAGCTGAGGCGGCAGCTGGAGGCGAGCAGCTCGGCTGTCACCGCTGCACTGAAGGAGGAGTATGCCAGAGAGAAGGAGGAGCAGGAGAGGCGGCATCAGGTGTGTTGCTCCTCTGTCCCTTGGGGCCTAGCAGCATGAGCAGGGCTGTTCTGGGTGCAAACAGTCCGTTCCCTGTGTCCTGACACAACCAGGAGCTGCGTGCATGGAGCTGTGTACTGGCACCCTATGGGCAGCATGCACACGTGGGATGAGGGAGGGCCATGCCCAGCTGTACCCACTGGAGCTGAGCAGTTCTCTTCCATCTGTAGACAGAAGTGAAGGTGCTGAAGGACCGACTGGAGCTCGAGAAACAGGCCTGGGAGGCCAGCTATGTGAAGAAGGAGGTAATGGCCGGGGCTGCCCTGCTTGGGAGCTGCTGCCCTCAGGCTCGGAGCTGATGTTTCCCCCCTCTGTTGCTGTTTCCAGGAAGCCTGGCTGCTCTCCCGGGAGCGGGAGCTGAGGGAGGAGGTGAGGAAGGAGAGGGACAAAGAGATTGAGTTGGTCATCCAGCGCCTGGAGGCCGACATGTCCTCCGCCAAGGAGGAGTGCGAACGGGCAGCTGAGAACAGGTGGGAAGGGAGAGGGGGTGCTCCCAATTCCCTTCCCTGTCTTATGGGCCTTGTGCCTGTGCAGGGAGCTCTGGACATGCGCTGGGGCTGGGGATCTCCCGTGTGGCTGCAGCACTGGGCTCTGTCTTCTTTTCCTTTAGGATCAAGAGGATCCGGGACAAGTACGAGGTGGAGCTGCAGGAGCTGGAGAGGTCTGAGCGGAAGCTGCAGGAGCGCTGCAACGAATTGAAGGGGCGGCTGGTGGAACTGGAAGGAGAGAGCATCCGTCTGCAGGGCCTGCTGAAGCACAAGGAGCAGGAGGTGGAGGAGATCCGGAAGGTGAGCAGAGAGCAGGGTTGGGGGTCTGGCTCCAGCACACTGCATCACAGCACAGGGTCACACCGGTGTCACCCTGCAGGTACGGGACCAGCTGTCTCAGGAGAGGAGCAGCCTGGCAGAAGTGATCCGGCAGGAGTTTGCAGACAGGCTGGTGGGCACAGAGGAGGAGAACAAGAGGCTGAAGGCAGAGATGGCGGAGCTGCGTGCCCGGCAGCGCCTGGAGCTGGACAGGGTGGTACGGGAGAAGGACCGAGAGCTGGAGGAGGTCCACAGGAGGTGAGGGGCTTTGTGCTGGGCTTGCAGCTGGGGCAGCAGGCATACGGCTGGCCTGGGGGGTTCCTGCTGGTCCAGCGTGTGTTCTGCAGCCTGCTGCGGGCCTGCATTAAGCTCCTGCATGGACATGGGGGTGGGAAGTAGTTGCCATAGCTCCAGGAGTGCTTCAGGGCTGTAGAGAGCATGGGTTCTGGCACTGCTGGTGCTGGATGAGTGTCAAGCAGCTGGTCCTTTGCTTTTCCTGCCTGCGGGGGAGGGATTCTGCAAGCAGAACAGGAATCTGATGGGGAAGCACATCGTCTTCTGCAGGAGCACTTTCGGTGTGGAGCAGGGGCTGTGCTGGCTGCTGTCTGTGGTATGGCCTGATCCCTCCTGTGCCTTTGCAGGGCTGTTCACCACTAGCTGCAGTGAGCAGGTGGAGCTCAGAGGCTTTCCCAGAGCCAGCCCAGTGCTTTACTTGGAGAGGCAGGGTGATGCCCTGAGCGTGGGCCAACCCATCACCACCATGCATGCTAAGCCATGAGCAAGTGTGGGTTTGCTGGGAAGAACTGGGAAGAAATTTCCCCGTGATCTCTTTAGTTAATGAAGTCGTGTGAAACTCATGTCCATTCTTCCTGCAGATGACTTGATTCAAACACACAGTGCTACCAAAGTGAATAACAGTGCTCCTAGCATGCAGGGGCACCCCAAGCCCGGAGCAGCTGCTCTGTGGCACTGCAGCTTGCTTAGGGTGTGGAGAAGGGCAGCTTTTTGCTGTGCCCAGATCCGGGAGTGATGAGAGCTGGGTGCTGGGCTCAGCCTCTCCCCATCTCCCTGCTCAGGGTGAAGACAGCCGTGGCGAGGAAGGAGGAGAACGTGAGCAGCCTTCGGAAGCAATACGAGGTGAGCAGGTTGCTGCCCCTGCACTTCCTGCAGCACTGCCCGGGCACAGCTCACCCTGGCTCACTGTCTCACAGGCTGCAGTGCAGAGAGCCGACCACCTGGAAGCCCTCCTGGAGCAGCAGCGCCGGCAGCTGCTGGCCACCGAATAGCCCTGTGCCACCTGGGTGCATGGGCCCCTACCGTGGGGCTGGGGGTGGCTTCCTTCTTCCCTCCCCTTTTTTTTTTTTTTTTTAAACTGGTGCCTCGGCTGGGGGTCCCAATGGGGACATGTGGCAGCGTTTGGATTTCTGGTGGTTGTGTTTTAACAATAAAAGCTGCTCTGGTTTCTACAGCTTTGATCTATATGTCCTTGGGGAGAGGGGAGCCTCTGTGCTGTTGGCATCCAGGGCCTTTTTTTGTTTCTTTTCTTTGCTGATGCATGCATCCCTCCCTGCGTGGCCCTGAGCGCGCTGTGCTGGGAGCTGGGGGCTGAGCCCTGTGGGCAGCGTGGGGCCGAGAGCTCTGTGCAGAGGGGAGGTCAGTGCCATGTGCTGGCAGTGGGCTGAGCACAGCCTGTTCCCTGCCACCTCGAGGTGTGGGGGGAGAAGAGAGCCGTGGCCCAGCAGCTTGCTGTCTGTTCTGCAGCCCCGTTCTGCCTTTCAAATGAAATAGCTGTGAAGTGCAATGGGAGAAGCCAGGCTGCTGGGAGGAGACTGGACCAGGGCATGATGTGATCTCACAGCCCTTCAAATCCATCACCACCTCCCAACAATATTGGGAAACGCCCGCGCTGAGCTCATGGCATCCGTTTCCTCTCAACAGGCAGTGTGTGACCCCTCCTGTGGAGGTTTTTCTCTCCAAGAAGGCGAGGGCTGCTGCTCAGGGTCAGCAAATGTTTTCTCATTGGAGTCCCAGGGCTGATACGTGCCTTCAGCCAGGCTCTGGAGACCATGGGACAGAGGGCACAGCAGGCACTGGGTGCACACTGTGCTCTCCGGGTCACCTCCTGTGTTACCTCTCATAAAAGCCATCTCCCTGATGGTCATTTCCCATAAAACACTCCATTTCATGCTGCAAAGGGCCGTACCACGCAAACAGCTGATTGTGCACCAGTCCCCCTTTCTCTCTCTTTCCCCTTTTTGGCACTGGGGTAAGAACATCCACCCTCTGTGTTACCATGGTCTGTGGTGCAGTGATAATGTGGTGGAGCATGGGGTGATGCTGCCCACACAGTCCAGCAGAAAACCCCAAGTGTGACCTGCACTGGGATGGCTGCTGGATGGCAAAACCCACAGTGATGACCAGAGATGCCTCTGTTGCCTCCTTCCCCCAAAGATTGAGTGATTCATAACCAGAAGTCTGCATTGAGAGTGCAATTACTGTGCCATGTGCTGACGGTCAGAGTTCAGCCTGATCAGCGGAGGGTGCTGGAAAGCCCAGGTAACGGGAATCTAAAGCTGTGCTAATGGCTAGTTCTGTGTCACTAAGCTGTGCTAATAGCTGGCAATTCTGTGTCGCTGTAAGAAGTGGAGGTAGCAATGAGCTGCGCTGCCAAGCTCTGCATGTCACCATAGCATAGCTGTAAGCACAGCCCTGCAGCCCGGCCCTGGGGGTCCCTGTGTCCATCCCTGCAGTGCTGGGTGGCGGCCCTCCAAGAAACACCCATCTGTAGCAATTACTTGGTGCGAGCTTTGTTTTTACTATTCTTGCTTTTCTAACAACCGCTTCCTGAGCTCCGTTTCCTCTTTCCTCCCTTTCATGCAGCTTCTGACTGCAGCGCTCCGCTCCTAGCCCTGAGCTGTGCTCTGCCCCATCCGCTCCTAACCCTGAGCTGTGCTCTGCCCCATCCGCTCCTAGCCCTGAGCTGTGCTCTGCCCCATCCGCACCGCGCTGCCTGGGGCAGGACGCTGGCCGTCCCCGCTCCAGCTGTACTTTATCACACGGGCGCAGCGGCCACGGAGTCCCACGGCCGACGGGAGGAAGGCAGGGGCGAGGACAGGAGCGCTTCCCACTTTGAGCCCTGCATCAAGGCTGAGGTTCCCATCCCTCCATGCAAGCATCCACCATGAGAAGACCCCCAGGAAGCCGCTGCTGCCCCCCAGCCCTGATGCTGTGCTCGGGACGCTGTGCCCGCAGCACCGGGCTGCTTCTCACCCTGCTCGCCGTGCTGCTGCTGCTCCTGCTGCTGCCCGCACAGCGCAGCCTGTGGCTCCAGCTCTCCAGGTATGGTGGGGCGTTGGGGTGGGAACGGTGTGGCCCCTTGGCTGTGGTGTTGTTTTGCTCCAGAGTCATTTTGCCCTGGGAAATGATTAACCCTGAACCCGCCTGTGGCTGCCCTCTCTCTGAGTTCCGTGCTCAGTGCAGCTCCTGGCCCTGGCCTGGGGCCCAACGGGGTGGCTCTGAGCCCAGCTGCTTTCTGTTTTGTGGGGTGGGGATGGCACTGCTGTGCCCAGATGGGTGCGGGCAGAGCCACAGCAGCACTGCCTGCACCTGTCCTGAGCCTCTTCTGCACTGTCACAGGGCTGGGGATGGGGATAGGACCCTCCTGCATCCCTCCTGGCCTCCTCTCTCCTCCCGCAGGACTCCTGTCCACCAGAGAGCCACAACCACGGCAGCCCCACAGCGGGTGACACAGGCAGCATGGCCATCCCCCGTCCCCAGCATGCCACCAGAGCTCGGGGACACATATGGGCAGGATGAGACCTACAGCAGCTTGGTATAGCAGTGCCACAGTGCTGGGGCAGGGACACAGAGGTATCGTGTCCCCATGTGCAGGACACCACGAAGGTGCCATGCCGCGCGATCACTCGTCCCCTGTGCTTCCAGGGCTGTCCCAACAGCATCAGGAAGAAGATTGGGGCCACTGAGTTTGGGGCCACTTTCCTGCCCACCATCCCGGTGCTGCAGTGGGCACGGCATGCACAGGAGGATGAGTACCAGAGGCTGCACCAATACGGGGGAGCTCATGGCTGGAAGGACATCCCCTGGGATGGTGCGTGCGGGTGGGGGCACGGCAGGTCCCTGTGCATGGGGGGGGATGGTGGAAAACAGCACCATCCCATGGAGTGGGAGGAGAGAGTGCTGAATGTGAGACACCCCCCCTTGTGCCACCTGCAGTGCTGAAGTCATCCCTGTCCCTCCTCAACGCCTCGAGCAGCGCTCTGCTCTTTGACATCCGCCCACTGGCCACAAGTTGCACCCGCTGTGCTGTGGTGGGCAACGGGGGCATCCTCCATGGCTCCGGCATGGGCCCCACCATTGATGCTCATGACTACGTGTTCAGGTGAGGGCATAGGGCACGGCCACGGTGCAGCTGCGGGGGAACCACCACCACCTCCCTGCGTGTCCCTTTGCAGGGTGAATGGAGCCATCACGGAGGGCTTTGAGCGCGATGTTGGCAGCAGGACGTCCTTCTACGTCTTCTCCACCAACACCATGGTGAACGCGCTGCGCAGCTACGCCGCCGATGGCTTCCGGCATCCACCCCAAACACTGGTGGGGGATAACAGGGCATGGGGACAGGGGAGCTGTGGGCACAGCACTGTTGTCATCTCCTGATCGTTGGTGCGTCCTCTGCTGCAGGAGACTTGCTACGTCTTCCTCCCAGACCACGACCGTGACTACCTGCTGCTGCGGGCGGCCCTGAGCCAGCAGCGTGTGGACAGTGGCCGGGATGAGGGGGTCCAGTAAGTGGTCGTGTGGGGGGGACACAAGCACATCCCTGTGCCCCACAGCTCCCAGCAGCTGCCCACACCTCCCCACAGCCCCCAGGAGTTCTTTGGGAAAGACCTGCAGGCGGGGAAATTTAGGATGCTGCACCCGGATTTCATCCGCTACCTCAGGAACCGGTAAGAAGCCCCCAGGTGGGGGGGTTTCCCCTTTCCCATCCCACTGCTGGAGGTGTCTCAGGCTCCTGTTCACTCCCCACAGATTTCTCCGTTCCCACATCCTGGCCACCCCATTCTGGCAGCTGTACCGGCCCTCCACCGGCGCCGTGATGCTGCTGACCGCCATCCACACCTGTGACCAGGTGGGCACCCCGTGTCCACAGCTCTGCCCTGGGTGCAGCACAGCTCCTGCAGCCCTCCACCCTGCTCAGCAGCGCTGCTGCCTCCCGCTTGGCATCCACACACCCCCTCTGCCACAGTCACTGCTCATACAGCTGCTCCCACAGCACTGCCCCATCCCCTGTGCCAGGGTGGTGAGCTCAGCCCTGTGTCTTGCAGGTTAGTGCCTTTGGGTTCATAACACCGGGCTACCAGGCGTACTCAGATCACTACTACGACCGTGAGCGCAAGGAGGTGCAGTTCTTCATCAACCACGACCTGAGGATGGAGATGCAGCTGTGGCAGCGACTGCAGCGCAGTGGGATCCTGTGGCTCTACACCGGCTCGGAGGGGACGTGATGCCATCGGGGTGCGGGGCTGGGTGATCTGCTGGGACCTGTGAGTGAGGAGCTGGGCTGGGACTCGAGCAAAGTTTGTAATGAGTTTTACCAGGCCCTGCACAGCTCTGCTGTGGGGTAAAATTAATGAATCATGTGAAACTGAGTGTGGGAGAAATAGAAATTGAACCTGTCCCTGCCTGGAGAATGGGAATGGTGAAGCACCCAGGGAGAATCTAGTGCTGTGACTCCATGGGGGGCTGCTGTGTGTGCAAGGGGCTCATGGGTGAGTCCTTAATATGGTTTGTATAGCGGCATCTCCTGCTGGGGCTGCCTCCTGCCCATCTGGGGGATTCTGCAATGCCTCTACCCTGGGGAGGGATCTGTAGCATCCTCTGTTTGTTGCCATAGCCCTGGGGTGGCAGCCCCTGTCCACGTCCCCCATTCTGTGGCTGGGAGGGCCGCTGGTGCCCTTCATGTCCATCATTCCTGCTGCCGTCTTGGGGGCTCTGCCCCCATCCCTGTCCCTCCCCAGCATCACAGAGCTTTTTCTAGGCCAGTGCCCAGTTCAGGCATGAATAAACCAGCAGCGTTGCATAACTGGGGCTGCAGATTTACGCAGGATGGCTGCCCGAGCCCTGCTGCTGCACGGTACCCTGCATGCCACAACCCTGTCCCATCCCTGCAGGCAGACAGAGCAGAACAGAGCAGCGCAGCACAGCAGTCACTCATGGCTGTGCCAAGCTCCCCAATTAAGGAGCCTTCCTCCTGCCGTGGATTAGCCAGGATCAGTGGAGCCCGAGAGCGGGCCGAGCTGCTCGGTGGGAAGGAGGTCAGGAGGGCCGGGTGCTTTTGGCAGCCGCCGTGCAGAGACTGTGGCTCAAGCTGGTGTCTGCCCAGCAGGGATTAGCTGCGGCCCCAGACAAAGTGGCCGGGTGGCTGGAGGGGACAATCCCAGTTCCCATCCCGTGCCGGGCATCCAACACGATGCCTGGGTTATTTCAACCCCATCCACTCACCAAAGCCACCTCACAGCAGGAAGGCTCCATCAGGATGGGGTGTGGGTTCCTGCTGCAAGCTGCTTGCCCACCCATGGGTACGTTCTGCCTCGTGGTGACTCAGCTGTGCCAGCTCAGCAGCACACAGAGCAGGGCCATGGGAACAGCCCTGCAAGGCCACCACCTCCCCATGGCACCCACTGCCCTCTGTCACCCCCCCACCCCACTACATCCCCTGGAGCCCAAAGCTCCATCCCAGCAGGGTGCACAGGGGACGTGTGGGTGTCCCCAGGCTGCGCTGAGCCAGAGCATTGGCTTGCACATGGTTTGGGGCAGTGGGGGGGCCATGGGTGTGCTCATACTGGGGGGCAGCAGTAGCATGAAGGAGTGAGCTGGTTCCCAATGATGGAGGAATGTTTATTCCCTGTGAAGTCTGCAGTTTTTCCAGCCCTGTATCTATTTGCGGCAACGTGACATGTGCGGCGTGGTGTTCTTTGCAAGCTTGAAGTCTTGTAAAAAATTAATTGTTGTATGCAAAATTTGGCTTTAAATTTTAAAATCATCAGTGAGCCCTGTACTGGAGGCTGTGTGTGCTGCTCCCCAAGGAGTGCAGACCCAAAGGGACATCTGTCGTGGGTCCCTGCACCAAGCTGCCTCCTGGGGGGCTGCTGACTGGGTGTTCCTGCAGGGCTGCAGGGATGGTGTGGTGCACCCACGATCTGGGGGTGCAGCCCCACGTGCGGGGGCTGCGGCATTGAGCTCACGAGGCTGAGCTGTGCTGTGTTTATAATCCCAGCCCGAAGGGTCCCCTACTGAGTGGGGATACGTGGGGTGCTTCTCCCCTGCCAGGGGTTGGGGTCTCGGGTCCTGGGGGTGATGCTGGGACAGGTGGAGATGGAGGATACAGGGGCGAAGTGTCCCCCGTCCCGACCCACGTTATCACATCGCCCCCCATCCCATCCCGCTCCCCGCAGACGGTACAGCACTATCGTAGCTCCGCGGGGCCGTCGTTGCCTTTACCGACCGTGGGCTGGGGGCTGCCCCGTGGGGACCCCCTCTCCGAGGACGGGGCTGGGGTATCTCCCGTCGGGTCCGCGCGGGGGCGGCGGAGGCGCGATCCCAGCGCCGCGGACCGGGGGCCGCCACCTGCCGCCCCCTCCTCTCTCCTCCCCTCCCCTCCCCATCCCGCTCGGCGGCGGCGCGGCCCCTCCCCGGGGCACGGGGCGCGGGGCCGCGGCGGCCGCCATGGAGGAGGAGCCGCCGCCGCCGCCGCCGCCGTGCCCAGCGCGGGGCCAGCGGCAGCCGGCGGCCGTGAGGCTCCCGCCGCACCATGGGCCGCCTCGCCGCCGCCGCCGCCGCTGCCATGTCGGCCGCCTTCCTCAGCCCCAGCCTCGCCTTCAGCTCCCACTTCGATCCCGGTGAGTGCCGCAGCCCCTCGGGCCCGAAGGCACCGGGAGCCGCGCTTCGCTCCGCACCGCCCCGCACCGCTGCAGCCCTTCCGCATCCCCCGGCGAGCGGCCCCGCTTTTCCCTTCCCGCTCCTCCGACCCCTCGTAGCGGTCCCCGCATCCCTCCACAGCCAACCCCCCACCCCCTCCCCCTTCGCCCCCGGTTCCCCGTTCCTTCTGCAGCTCCGTCCTCGCAGCCCCGCACCGAACTCTCCGCGGGTTCGGAGCCGTTTCGATGCGGGGAACGGAGCTCGAGCGCGGCTCCGCGCCTCCAAATGTCACCGTGCGCTGCGGGAGCCGCTCCGCATCGGGCGCCGTTTTGTCCCCCGCTGAGGAATCGCGGAGTCGCGCCGCCTCCGGGGGCATTTGTTTGTCTGATTGAAAAATAATGTCGGCAGAAGCGGTGAGAACGGAGCGGAAAGGAGGGTGGGGGGGGGGACGCTGCCCGGGGCCGCCGCGGCGGAGCGGGGCCGGGGGTACAGGAGGCGTGCGGGGCTGCGTGCGGGGCTGCCGTTATGTAAGCGCGGCGGCACGGTTTCGGTTGCGCCGCATCTGCAGGAAGCGGCCGCGCACGGGCGCGGAGCGGCGTTGGCTTTTGTGTGGGTTTTTGGGGCCGTTTGCAACGCGTTCCTGCTGGATGGGGAGGGGGGGACCGGCAGCTCTGGCCTCGGCGTGAGCTGCGTGTGCCACCGGGATGGCACGCGTGTGTGTGGTGTGTGTGTGTGTGTGTGTGTGTGTGTGGATGGTACGCGCGTCCCCGGGAGCTGATGGTGGGGTCGGTGCGGTGACCCACGGCAGAGCATCCTTGCGGGTTGGCAGCGCGTTGGCACCGTCCCTTTGTCACTGAAGCGGGGGAAGCCGACTCAGCGCTGCCCTGGCGGGACGTGGTCACTGCGTGGCTCTGGATGTCACTGTCACATCGCGTGTCCCTTCTCCTCTGTGGCGGTGACATCGCTCCGTTTGCTGGAGCCGGCTCTGGAGGGTCTGTAAATGCGGACCGGCCGGGATTTACCCACACGGAGCTCTGTTGGTTCGCAGCCTGCTCGGTATTGATCCGCGTTAGGAAGGAAACCTCTTTATTTGCATCTTAAATGCGGCAGCGCTGGGAATGGAGACGTGTTTACCACTCTCAGCCTTCGGTATAATTTCTCTCCGGGTTTTCGCCGAGCGCCCAATTTGCCATGCTAATCCCGTCAACCTGGGGATTTGCAGGGCACGGTTGCTTTCAGCATCCTTCTGCAGGAAGGTTTTCCGTCGCTGCCGATCGCCATGCTGCCGCGTTCCCCAATCCGGGCTCTGCTGCCGCTGACACCCACGGTTACTGTCAGGGAAAGAAATTAGAGGGGGGAAAATGTATTCTCTGTTTCACGGGCTTGTTGATCCCGTACGGTTGGCAGCACCGTCTGCGCGGCACCTCCTGCGCCAGCCCCATTTCCCTGCTCTTTGCCGGAGACACGGAGCAGGAGGAACCGCAGGGACAGCGTGGGGACGGCGGTGACACTGGGGGTGGAGGAGCCGTCCCCTGCTCCAAGCACATCTCGTGTATTTCGGTGAGGTTGGTGGCCCTTCTGAGAGATGTGCTCATGCCAGGCAATGCTGGGTGGAGAGCTGCTGCCATTGCGTCCCTGCGGAGGTGGCTCGGGGCTGGGGGGGGAGGGGGGATCCCAGTCCTCTCTTCTCCAGGTTTCCAGGCCTGGGGGTGCTCACGGCTGGAGCCAGGCTGCGCTGTGAGGAAGGACATCTCTGCAGCCCCTCCAAGGCCTCGCTGTGTCCCACTGCACAGTTGTTGGCTTTGGGGCCAGTGGTGCTCACAGACCCCGATGATGTGAGGCTGTGTCCCCTCTGGCCAGGTCGGGGTCGGTGCTGCCCTGGCTCCCAGCCTGGATTTCCCCATCTCAGCCTGCGGAGCACATTTTGAAATCGTGAGAAACGTCCTCTCTTCCCTTACCCATATTTCTCCTTCCCCTTTTCTTTTTAAGCAGCACAGTGATGGTATTTGAACGATGGAGATGCTGCAGGCAGCAGGGTTTTGCTTGGCATGTTGGGGGCAGCAGGGTGCTGCTGTGGGGCTGCAGCTTTGGGCAGCAGTGGGACTCAGTTCAGGGTGCTCCATGCCTCCTGGTGCTGCCTGTGCCATCGCTGTCCCTTGGCCGTGCCCCCGTGCCACCTGCGTGGCCGTTCCTGGGAGCTGGCCATGGGGCAGTGATGGGACCTCTCCACAGCACCATGGTTGTGGGTCCAGTTGGCACATGCTGCGTCCCCCTGCCCCAATCCCTGTGCCACAAGTGCCCTGCATTGCTGGGCAGTGCTGGCAGAGGGGTTGGCGTGGGGAACAGCGGTACGGGGACCGGAACCCCAGAGCTCACAAGGGGTGAGGGCAGGAGGGTGGGCGCAAAGGTCAGATTTGGGGCAGGGAGCAGGGAACATGGAATGGAGGTGGCTGCAGTGGGGGAAGCGTAACACCCGGCAGCGCGTGGGAAGCTGCAGCGCTCACACCTCACCGCACAGATCCTACAAGGAGCTGCTGGCGCGTGGAAGGTGTCAGCATGGGGCCCGTCTGTCTGTCCAGGCACGGAGGTGGGGGTTCCACGGGGGTGCTGTGGAGGCAGGGGGGCTCACAGCTGGGCTGCTGCTGGTGATGGCGTTGGCGCAGCTCTGCAGTGCAGCAGGGCAGCTGGGCCCCGCTGCAGGAGGATGGGATCGGCACCAGCATCGCTCCCCTGGGGGTGCCCGCTTGCTCCCTCCCTTCTCCCCTCCTTCCTTCTCCTTACTCCCCCCTCTCCGTGCACACGGGCGATTGCGTTTGGATGGTGATACGGATCCCTGTCAAAGCCAATTAGGAGAAATTAATATGCCAGGGTTGAAAGGCCTCAGATCTCTCGGGAGAGGCGGGGTGGTGACTCACGGGCTCCCTGCCCAGTTCTGCCCGCCTGCCTGTGGGATGCGGGGTGCCCCACAGCTCCTGCCCTGGCACTGGGCCATGGGACAGTGTTGGTATCTGCACTGTACTGTCAGGAGAGCAGTGCCATGGCCGTCCTATGGGCATAGTATTGTGCCCTGCCAGGAGCTGCCTGGTGCTAGGGTCCTCCCTGTCCCATGGGCTGTTGGAGCACAGGCTGTCATCTCCCAGTGTTTCTCAGCTGGAAATCCCCATTTAGTTGGGTTCCTCCTGCATTGGGTTGCAGTGGACGCTGGGTGATGCTCGTCCCATGATGTTACTCCATGCAGCTCCAGCAGCATGCCACAAGCTGAGGAGCCGTGGTGGGGGGGTCCCAGCCATGTGCCATCCCATCTCTGCATTCTGGGGAGAGCGTGGGGGCTAAGCACCAGGGAGGGACAGGAGCTGGACCCTGGATCAGGCTGGGGTCCCCTATGGGTGAGAAACCCCATTGGGAACTAGGGGGTTGGTCCTGGGATTCTGCCCATGGCCAGAGGATGTTGGTCCCACCTCCTGGGTCTGTGGTTGGTATAAATGATTGCCTTAAAGGCTTGAGCAGCCCCTGTGAAGCCCATGCCAGGCCCCTTCCCCACTGCAAGTTGGGACCACGAGGGCTTTGCCCCGAAGAGCAGCCCTAAGGAGGGGATGGGCTGGGGTCATGGGGTGCTGGGGCTGGCTGAGAGGACAGGGCTGTGCTGGGCAGTGCAGGGAGGGGTTGGCCACTGGAGGAAGCAGCAGCAGGTTCAGGATTTCCTGCAAGTGACTGTCCCTGGGACAAGGGGAGCGAGCGGCGGTGGCTGGAGGCCCTGTTTCCCGTCCCTTCCCTTCTAGCAGTGCCATTGCTGCTGCCTCCAATGCCACCACTGTTCTTTTAATGCTGGAGCGAAGGGAAGCTCCGGCATCCCACACGCTGTAAGTGGGGCAGCTCTCTGCAGGATGCAGCATGGCTGGGCTGTTGGGGGGCACGGGGGACTCTGGGGTGTGAGGGTGGGTGCTTACCAAGGGTGGGCTGCGCACCCCTGGTCAGTGCCAGGCAATCCTCCTGCTCGAAGCACCCCTGATGCCACCATGCTGCGGTGCAGGGCAGAACGAGGCACAGTGCTGCCGCCTGGGGGGTGACATTCCTCGGGAGGGCTGTGATGTTTTCAGGGCAGCAGCTTCAGGAAGTCCCCGAGGTCTCAAAGGCTGGGCACGAGATGGGGATGTTGCGCACTTGGGGATGGATGGACAGCCCCAGTGCCGGCACCATAACAGCTTCCTAAAATCCACTCCCCGCCAATTCTCAGTGTCTCTTCCCCTCTGCTTGCTTTGTTCAGCCTGGCATGGGGCTGTTCAGGGGCTGTGCAAAGGGACTGTGGTGGGTGCCACGCTGCCCAGCTCTCTGAAATGGGGGCAGGCAAAGGGGAGCTCCCAAGGCCAGGCGCGCAGCAGCGATGGAGCTTTAGGGCAGCTGCAGAGAGCAGCAGGAAGGGGGTGGGCAGGGACCCTCCTGTTTGCCACAGCTGTCAGCATCCTGGGACATCGGGGCTGCCCGGTACGGCGCCTGTTTGAGGTGTGTGGGGTTGCGCTCTGTGCTTGCCTCTCTCACCGCTTGTTTTCGGAGCTGAGGCTTCTTGTTTCATAACGTCGCTGAACGTTTCTGATAAAAATAGGCTGCCCCGCTCCACGCGGCTTCTCTCCCGCCGTTACGTAAATGCTGCTTCACCGGCTGCTGGGAGCCTTGTTCTGGCCGTGCCCGTGGTGCTGTGCTCACAGTGCTGTGCCCATGGGGCTGTGCCGGCGGCGCCGCGCTCACGGCGCTGAGTGACGTGGGTTAGTGTGCACGGTGTGATGAGCTGATGGTTGGATTTGGTGATCTTAGTGGTGTTTTCCAACCTTACTGGTTCTGCGGTGCCATGTGCTGTGCCCACAGTGCCCATGGTGCTGTGTACGTGATGCTGTGCCTATAGTGCCCATGGTGCCATGTACAAGGTGCTGTGTCTGTTGTGCCCGTGGTGCTGTGTTCAAGGTGTTGTGCCCATAGTTTCCATGGTGTTGTGCTTGCTGTGCCCACGGTGCCATGCTCATGGTGCCTCCTTGTCCAAGGCGCCGTGCCCATGGTACTGTGTTCATGGTGCTGTGCCCATAGTGCCATGTCCATGGTGCCGTGCCTATGGTTCCTGTGATGCCATGTCCATGGTGCCATGCCTATGGTTCCTGTGATGCCATGTCCATGGTGCCGTGCCTATGGTTCTCATCATGCCATGCCCATGGCACTGTGCCCATAGCACTGGCCATAGTGCCATGCCCTGGAGGCCGCAGCATCCCTCTTTCTCAGCACAGGGCACCAGTCCGTGCTCTCCTCCCTGGGAGCCATGCGGGCACCAATTCACCACCCCATGGCACAGAGCCCTGCTGGGCACGAGGAGCCCATGCCGCACTGTGTTGCTGGGATTTGGCTCCAGCCATGGCTGTGGGTTTGCTGCGATGGCACTGCGCATCCCTGCTGGTGTGGGATGGAGGGAGGCTTCAGACCTGATGAAAGCACCAACCAAGAGAATGCAATTTAAATAATGAATTTAACCTTGCTTTGCATGCTGTTTTTAAAAAAATATATTATTTTCTCAGGAAAGGAATGGGAAAGTTGTCCATGTCTGGCTGTTCCCTACCCACCACGCTGCCTGCAGCAGGAGGGCTGTAGGAACTTGGCTTTTTGTCTCTCAGCAGACTGATGCTCGGTGTGTGCACAGTGCTGCACTTATTACAGCCCACGTTTTCATTCCACCACGTTACAAAATGACGGGTGATCTTTTTTTTTTTTTTCTTCTTCTTCTTCTTTTTTTTTTAATTTTCCATCTAATTATTGTTATTATTTTTTACTGCTAATTCATCCCGAGGTGATAAAACCTGAACTAAGAGGCGAGAATCAATCCTTTCAGCATACTTCTGTGTCGGTTAAATTAGCCCACGTTAAAAGACATGCAGGGAGAGCAGATGAACGTGGCATGCAGTGTGTTCGAAATGGACCCCTCTATGGCACCTGATGGGCTCTGTGCTGGGTGATGCTGGCTGTGCCTCAGTTTCCCTCTGGAGTTGCGTGGAGCAGCCTCGTGTTTTCGTGTTAAATGGCAGCGGATGGTTTCTTGCTGCCTGGCTGCGTATGGGTGAGCAGCGCGCTCATCCTTTGAGGTGTAAAATTGCTTTCCTGGAAGCTGCCCATGGATCCAGGCCCTTCATCTCGCTGGGGATTTATAATGTTACTAGGACTGTGCTTGTGCTGGGAGAGCGACTGAGAATGCTGAGCCTGCGGTGGGATGCTGTGCTGGGTCCTGTGTGGGTGCACCCTGCCTCAATCCTGTCCCAGACTTTTGCTCTACCCAAACACAGCCCTGCACTCTGCCCAAACCCACACCCAGCTCTGAACCCTGCACCGGGCACCTTTCCCAAACCCAGCCCTGCGCCCTGCCCAAACCAAACCCCTGCACCCTGCCCGAACCCACACCCAGCCCTACACCGTGCCCAGACCCAGCTTTGCATCGTGTCCAGACTCAGCCCTACGCTGTGCCAAAAACCAGCTTTGTATCGTGCCCAAACCCAACCCTATGCCCTCCCTGAGCCCGTCCTCTCCCAGCTGGCCTCCCATCACCATCCTCACTGGGGGCAATGCCGGAGGATGGGAGTGCTCCCTGCTTTGTCCCACTCCTCTGCACATAGCTGCATAGGGACCCCACATCAGCTGGGGTCTGGGCACAGTGCGACTCCCTCCATCCTGCAGGGAGAAGGTCTGTGATTCTGCACCCACCAGATTCATAGGTGTAAGGTGGGGAAACTGAGGCACAGTTGGGCAGGTTGCAGCAGGACCTGCAGCGAAGGGCTGGGGGGTGGTCTCGGCTGTGTGACCAAGCAAGTGGGCAGGACCCTGCTCCTGCCGACCCATTTGGCCATGCGGAGCCCTGCGGGGAGCCCCGGGCTCTCCCCTTCCGCACACGTCAGCCCCACTCCTTGCCCGTCGCCGCCGGGCAGAGCGAGCGGCGGCCGTGGCACATCCCAGCGGCGGGTGATGGCTGGAGGAGCGGCTGCAGGCACTCGGCAAACGTGAGTCAGCAAAGGAGCCGGGAAGGGCTGAGCCCATCCCTCGCTGCAGGGCTGTGGGGTTGTAGCCTTTCCCGGGTGCCTTTTAGGAAAAGGATTTTAGGGGATGCGTCCCTGAGCTGGGTGAGCAATGCAACAGGATGAGGGGTGTGGGCAGCGTGGACCCCGCTGTGCTCAGCATCTCTGTGCTCTCTGCTTTACCATTCTGATCTCGCTTGCAGGGTCAGGTGCCACCCTGGGGCTTTACTGAATCCCACCCCTGTCCCCCAGCATGGGGATGGAGCACGGTGTTGCCTGGCTTGCAGGCAGTGCTGGAATATCATTGCTCCCCTGACTCTGGGGCTGGTGCAGCAGCTCCTGCTGGGGGATGCACCGAGCTGGCTGTTCTCAGTGTGACCCCGTGGTGAGAGCAGTTTGTTGTGGGGGGAGCACTGCGGAGCTGCTGGGGGTGGTCCAACGATGTGGGCTGGGGTGGGCTCACGGTGATGCCAGAAGAGCTGCATGGGGCTCCCGACCCTCAAAGGGTGGTGACACCCCTCCTTGCACCGGCGGTGGTGCAGGTGGGGGAAACTGAGGCAGAACACGTTGTTTTGGAAATGGGTTCATCTGAAAAGCTCCATTTCCTGCACCGTGGCCTTGGGCGGCTCAGCTGACAGTCCCTGCTGGAACGGCTTCTGTCGCCGCGCTCTGCTCCCGTCGGCATTCAAAAGGCTCTTTTCAGTGAGTCATTTTCTCTCTTGCTGTCCCACTATCCAAGGAAAATGGTGACATTCGCTGTACAAAGTGTGTTCACCATGGAAACCGGCTGCAAGCAGCAAGAATGCCACCCCCGGCTCCTCCCCGGTTCGGCTGCGCATCGCTGAGCCTCAGAAGATGGCTCTGGAGCTGCTGCGCCAGCAGCGGCCGCGTTCCGTGCGGTGCGGAGCCCGAGGTGCTCCGCGCCCCCGAGCGGGGATCCCCAGCCCTCCTGTCCTTCAGGTGCCCTCCTCAAGGACACGCCAGCGCGGGGGCAGAGCTGGCAGCACGGTGCCCGGCGTGGCATTGCACACTGGCACCTGGGGTGGGAGAGGTTTGGGGTTGGTGATGGCGCAGCCCCCGTGGTGTGTCCGCACGCATGGTGCATGGCAGTGGTGCTGGGCTGGGCTTTGGGAAAGAGATGCACGGGTGATGGCATTGTGCCCCAATCCCTCGGTGCAATGGGGAAGGCACGGTGCAGCAGCTCTGTGGGTGCTGTGGGTGGATGCGTGGGGGCTCACAGTGGGGTGGGGGTCTCTGTGCCGCCGTCCCCTCTCGTGGGAGAACTGTGGCCTTCCTGCTTCTTTGCACCACAACGCTCCGGTTGTTTGGGGAGGCTCTGGGCAGAATAGTAATGTGGCAGCTGCTGCCTGTGGCGGGGGCTCGCAGTGAGGGGGTGCCGTGCAGGATGGCCCCATGGGGTGGTGAGTGAGGGGATGTGGGATGGAGATGCATGTTGCCCTCCTGGCAGCATCCCTGTCTCTGAGTCTGGTGGATGTGGGGTGAGGTTTGGGGGATACGGTGTACCCGGTGGTGACAGAGCACAGTGGGGGCACAGCAGTGGTGGCACCACGTGAGCAAAATCCCTGCGTGCAACCCCCTTGCAGCACCCCCCAGCGCAGCCCTATCTGCTCCCCTTACCCTGCATCCCTATGTCCCTGCAGACGGCACCCCCCTTAGCGAGCTTTCCTGGTCCTCCTCGCTGGCTGTCGTTGCCGTTTCCTTCTCCGGGCTCTTCACCTTCATCTTCCTCATGTTGGCCTGCCTGTGCTGCAAGAAGGGAGATATCGGCTTCAAGGTGAGGGCCGGGCACCCAGCGTGGGCAGGGGGATGCAGCTCCCACTGGGGTCTCCGGGTGCCGTGTCACTGCACAGGATGTGCCTGCTGCTCAGTGCACTATCGCTTGGGTGGGAGCTCAAGCCTTACGGGCCAGGCCACAGCATGGTTAAGGGCCGCGGCGGTCCCACCCGCACGCCCCCGGGGTGGGAGGCACCCTGACCTCACAGGCACAGAATGTGCCGAGAAACGGTTTTCCCTAATTGCTGGGATTTTTGTGGAGGCTCGCGGCGCCCGCGGCGGGGAGGGGTCAGGCAGAGTGGACACGCCGGGTCGTTGTATAACCGTCCCACACCGGAGCACCTCGAGCAGGGGAACAATGAGCCCCCTCGTGCCCCCGCGGCAGCTATATAGGGCCGTGGAGCTGCAGCCTGGCGCTGGCAGTGCCCGCGGGGTCGCGGCGCGCAGCACCATGAGCGGCGGCTGCGCCGGGGCAGCATCATGCTCACCATCACCTACCTGCTCGCCCAGGCGGCTTTCAGGAGCCGGGGGCTGGTGGGGCATCAGTGCCAGGTATGGGGCTGGGGGCGCTGCCCGGGAGGCTCGGTGATGCTCTATGGGGTGCGGGTGGCTGCGCTGTGGGGCGCGGGGCAGGTTGCAGGGAGCCCGCAGGGTCAGTTGTCTCTGCTCCGTGTGTGTCCCCCTGCCGTGCGCTCCCCTCCGCCCCGGCCCAGGAGTTTGAGAACGCCGAGGGGGACGACTACGTGACGGAGTTCTCGGCCCAGGGCTCGCCCGCCCCGCAGCATGGCCCCGAGGTGTACGTCCTGCCCCTCACCGAGGTCTCGCTGCCCATGGCCAAGCAGCCAGGGCGCTCAGGTAAGCTGCCTGAGGGGCGTGGGGGGGGTGGAGCATCGTGGGACCCCCGTGCACCCTGGGGCAGAGGTGGGGTGGGGCCAGGAGGGGTGATCACAGCCCTGTGCCAGGCTTAGCTGAAGCAACTTCCAAAGCAACAGGAGGTTGAGGTCCCTCGAGCAGCGCTGTCCCTCTGCACAAGGGTGGTTTGTCCCCCTGTGTAGCACCAAGGGGAGCAGTGTGCACCCCTCTGGCGTGTGCTGGAACATAGAATCACTGAGGTTGGAAGAGAGCACTAAGATCATGTCCAACCATCAACCCATCCCCACCATGCCCACTGAACCATCCTGTAGGGTGTTCTTTCCCATGGCACCCACCAGCCCCAGCCCTGCGTAAACAAGGCAGCGAGTGGGAGAGGAATCTGGGGGGGCCGCTGTGCCACAGCCCCCTTGCTCCCATTGTTGCTCTCCCCAGCTCAGAGAATAGCAGCAGTGTGGCAGGGCTGGGGCGGCGTGACGCAGCCCAACAATGGCTCCATTGCTGCACCCCTTGGCATGGGTGCACGAGGGGCAGGACCTGTGCTGGGAGGGGGCCGGGACTGTGGCTAAATGCCAGAGCTCCAGTCCGGCTCCATTCTGCTCTCCCCATCCCTGGGGAGAAGAAGGGGCAGAGAGCAGCTCTCCTCGCCTTGCTTGGGGACACTCTATGTCCCCACACCGGCACGGCCACACCAGGATGCTCAGTGGGAAGGACATGGGGTGCCTGGGGATGGTCCCCCCACTGCTGACGGAGCATCCCAGGACAGTGTGGGGTGGCACAGCAGGAAGGACCCCAGGGCTCGGCTGGAATCGGCGGGTAACTCGGGTGGGTTGTGGGTACGGGTGGGCACATGAGCGCACAGGCAGCTGGATGTGCTCTGTTACAGTGCAGCTCCTCAAGTCTGCAGACCTTGGGAGACAGAGCCTGCTGTACCTGAAGGAGATTGGGCATGGATGGTTTGGCAAGGTGAGCACAGGGCATCAGGGTGTTGGGTGTTGGGATACCGGGGCGGGGTGCATGCAGGATCTGGTCCTTGTGCGGCTGCTTCAGCTCTTGTGCCCCATTGGGATGTGGGTTGCAGGGGTCACTGTGTCCCCCACTGGGAGAAAGGTGTGGTGAGGATGGATAGATGGGGACGTGCCTGTCTCTTGCCCCCAGGTGTTCCTGGGGGAGGTGAACTCGGGCATCAGCAGCACGCAGGTGGTGGTGAAGGAGCTGAAGGCCAGCGCCAGTGTGCAGGATCAGATGCAGTTCCTGGAGGAAGCACAGCCCTATAGGTAGAGTCAGGGGTGCTCCTGAATTGGGACAATCTGCTGGGACGGGGGGTGCTTTTGGATGTAGCCTGTCCCCAGGCTGTGGGCTGTCCCCTCTGTGCCATGTTTGGCTGAGCTCTCTGGGCTGCAGCACGGCTCTGTCCTGGGGCTTGCTGGCTGCAGGATGCTGCTGGTGTCTGGCCCTGCCTGCAGTGAGGTCATGAGTATGGGGGGAGGGGGGCACGGAGCTGCTCCATGCCCCATGAGAGCTGAACAAATGCCCCTTTGTGGTGCGCACTGGGGTGCTGGGACGTGCTGGTACCCGCTCACAGCCTCTACTGGCTGCCCCCGCACTGTGGAGGAGGCACCAGGGATGCTCCCCCAGTGGTGCCAGCGTGCACCTCACTCTGCCCCACAGGGCCCTCCAGCACACCAACCTGCTGCAATGCCTGGCCCAGTGCGCCGAGGTCACCCCCTACCTGCTGGTGATGGAGTTCTGCCCGCTGGTGAGTGATATAGCCCTATAAGCTGGGGCTGTAGGGAGCCGTGGGGTGGCACGTGGCACCGCTGTGCCATGCCTGGCGCATTTTGGCTCTGGGACCCGCTGGGTGTGGGAGGGGACTGTGGTGACAGTGGCACCATCCTGCAGGGTGACCTGAAGGGATACCTGCGGAGCTGCCGGGGGGCTGACTCCATGGCCCCAGACCCGCTCACTCTGCAGAGGATGGCGTGCGAGGTGGCCTGCGGTGTGCTGCACCTGCACAGGAACAACTACATCCACAGGTAGGGATGGGGGGTGCAGTGGGGGGGAGTGGGCTGAGCAACCCCCAGGCTGTGCCCGCCACACCTTGCTCCTCCTGCCCAACAATATCCTGGTGCTGAGTGAGTTGCACACAGAGACTCCAGCATCAGTGATTTTGTTGAGGAAGGGGAGTGCTGCATCGGGGCCACCGGACCTTCTCAGCCCAAGCTGGGCTGCTTGAGACTGTTGCAGTGGGGGAAAGTGGGGGCTGGCAGTGCTGGAGAGGGGCTTCTTATGGGCATCCCACCCTTGGTGCACCCAGGGTCTCCCCACATGCATCTACACTGTCCTGATGTGCATCCCATCTGTGTGCACCCCTCTGGGGCTATGGGAGCCCAGCCATGCCTGGCTGCACGGGTAGGAAGTGCCAGGGCTTACGTTGCTGGGGAAACCTGCTTTCCGCTTGGCTCAGCACTTGATGGATGGACGGATGGACAGAGGCGCAGCTGGAACGCTGTGCAAGAATTCCTGCTGTGCATTGGGTGGTTGGTGATTGGCACACCCAGCGTTCTGCTGCCACAAAACCCTTCTGCTCCCAGCACTGGCAGCAGTGCTGCTGGGGTGCCCAAGTGCGGTCCTCGGGCCCTGGGTGCCTTGTGCCCCCTATGGGGTTGGTGACAGCACTGGGGTTTGCTTGGCAGTGACCTGGCCCTGCGGAACTGCCTACTCACAGCCGACCTGACCGTCAAGATTGGGGACTACGGGCTCTCACACTGCAAGTACAAAGTAAGGCTGGTTAGGGTGAGGAGGGGGTTGCGCTTGGGACCCCCCACAGTATCGAGTCTGGGGGAGCTCAGGGACGTGCTGTGCACATGTATGGCTCTGTCTGTAGCTCTCTTTGCACGCACACTCCCAGACACCGCCCTGTACCTTTCCCTTCCCTTCCCTTCCCTTCCCTTCCCTTCCCTTCCCTTCCCTTCCCTTCCCTTCCCTTCCCTTCCCTTCCCTTCCCTTCCCTTCCCTTCCCTTCCCTTCCCTTCCCTTCCCTTCCCTTCCCTTCCCTCCCTCATGGGCTTTGCTGGGGCACTGAGTGGGTACTGGGAGGTGCGAGCCTGGAGGAACAGCACGATGGGGCTGGGGACGTGGGGTGGCAGTGCAGTGGGGCTGGGGAGAGTGGTGGCAGCGGGCGGTGGTGTGCCCTGTCCTTTACGTGTCGTTTTGACGTTCTCTTCTCGTACTGACCCTGCATACTTGGCAGGACGACTACTTTGTGACGGCCGACCAGCTGTGGGTGCCGCTGCGCTGGATTGCACCAGAGCTCATCGATGAGGTGCACGGCAACCTGCTCGTCGTGGACCAGACCAAGGCCAGCAACGTCTGGTGAGCAGGGCAGGGGGCATGGTGGGTGTGTGGTGTCTGGATGCTGGCCAGTGGCAGGCTGGGGGTGTCCCTGTGCCCCCAGCATCGCACCGTTCCTGCAGGTCACTGGGTGTCACCATCTGGGAGCTGTTTGAGCTGGGCAGCCAACCCTACGACCACTACTCCGACCGGCAGGTGCTTGCCTATGCCATCAAGGAGCAGCAGCTGAAGCTGCCCAAGCCCCAGCTGAAGCTGTCGCTGGCGGAGCGCTGGTGAGGAGCTCTCCCTGTCCCCACGTGTGCGCGGCCACGGCTCTGGCATGGGAGCGGGCACGGCGCTGAGCCCTGCTCCTTGTTGCTGCAGGTATGAAGTGATGCAGTTCTGCTGGCTGCAGCCCGAGCAGCGTCCGACAGCCGAGGAGGTGCATCTGCTGCTCTCCTACCTCTGCGCCAAGGGTGCGACGGAGGCAGAGGAGGAGTTTGAGAAGCGCTGGAACTCCATGAAGCCCAACGGCAGCGCCAGCGGCAGCCACCACGGCACCGAGCTCTCCTCCTTCCCTCTGCTGGAGCAGTTCTCGGCCGACGGCTTCCCCTCGGACGGGGACGACATCCTCACCGTGATGGAGACCAGCCACGGCCTCAACTTTGAGTACAAGTGGGAGCACACCAAGACTGAGCACTTCCAAGCACCCCTGGGCTCTCTCAGCCCCAGCAGCGCCGCACGTTACCATGAACTCTATTACCCAGCAGCATCTGCGGGGCACCTGAGCCTGGGGGTCTCACCGTCCTGCTATGAGTGCAAGCAGCAGGGCTGCCCCAGCCTGCCGCCACCCAGCATGGTGCCCATCCTGGGCGCACACAGCCCCTCGCTCGGCAGTGAATACTACATCCGCATCGAGGGCCCGGCTGAGGGCAGTGCTGAGATGGACTACGCCATGTGCTCCTACAGCCCTGAGGGTGAGCGTGGCTCCACGTCCTGCTGGAGAACCCAGGGCGCGCGGGATGACTCGGACAGCAGCCCCACTGCATCGCTGAGCATGGAGCCACTGCTGGGCCATGCACCGGCAGCTGAGGGCTCGTGGGAGTGCGCTGAGTACTACCCCTACGCGGGGCAGGAGCAGCACGGCTATGTGCCATCCCCCGGCCCTGAGCAGTTCCTGCTGGACGAGGAGCATGCTGAGCCCAGTGACAAGGACTGGCCCGTGCCCAGCTTCCAGCACAGCGTCTTCGCCGACCCACTGGGCGTCTCGCCCTCATTGAACTGTGCCTACAGCCCCCAGCACTACAGACAGCCTCCAGCACAGGTTGAAACCCATCCGGACTGCGTGGCGCTGGAGCTGGGCGATGACAGCCCCCCTGGGGCTCCCATCCCAGCAGCCCCCCAGCAGCAACCCTGGGCCTCCAACAGCTCCTCCAACAACAACATTGGCAGTGGCAGCCCGGCCACCCGCGAGCCCGCCGACAGCTGGTGCTACCGCCGCATGATCACCTTCCGTGGGCTGATGGCCAAGCCGCTGGGCACTGTGCCACCGCGCACCCAGCCCCAACTCGGGGGGTCCCCGCCGGGCATCGATTTCCGCCGCCCGCGGCAGGAGCAGCCCCAGCCCCCCGGCTCCTCCCAGTGCCGCTCACCCTCCCCGCAGAGCCAGGCCTGGCAGAGCCGTGACTCATCAGCCTCCGGCCGCTCGCAGGCAGCAGCGCTGACTGGCGGCCCCGACGCGGCCCTGGAAGCCGGAGCGCAGCCGTGCCCACAGGATGCCCACCCGGCTGAGGGCATGGAGCGGAGCAGCCCTCCATGCAGCCCTGTCCCCCCTGACACAGCTGGGACAAGTCCTGGGGAGGCCACCCTTATGGCCGGCATCACTGTGCCAAGCCCAGCTCCCACCAGGGAGCCTGGCATAGACGGTGCCCCGTCTGCGCCGGAGGGCCCTGAGACATCGGTGTCTGCAGAGGTGGCCGCCGAGAGCAGCGCGTGCCCCACCAGTGACGCAGAACGCACCCCAGACAAAACCTTCTCCAGCAGCAGCTTCCCTGGTGGCGACGACGGCAGCGATGAGGACACGGCAGAGCTGACTTCAGGAGTCTTCACCGACTTCTCCGGGGACTACGTGGAGCGGGCAGACATGGTGCCGGCATTCAAGTCCTTGCAGAAGCAGGTGGGGACACCGGACTCCCTGGAGTCGCTGGACATCCCCTCTACTGCCAGCTCCTGCGAGGTGTTCAGCCCCACCGCCTTCACGTCCGCCGGGCAGCCCAAGGCTGTGGACAGTGGCTACGACACAGAGAACAATGAGTCCCCTGAGTTTGTCCTCAAGGAGCCCCACGAGCCCCGTGAGCCCGAGGCCTTTGGCCAGATGGGGAAGCCACCCCCGGGTCTGCCGGGAGGGGATGGGGACAGCCCAGCCCCTGAAACACGGCTCTCGGCATCCTTCAGTGCTGAGCTGCATGGCCTCTCCGAGAAAAACCCCTACCGTGACTCTGCCTACTTCTCCGACTACGACACCGAGGCTGAGCGTGGCCCCAAGGATGAAGAGGACAGCGATGGCTCCGAGACCCCAGAGGCAGAGAAGGAGGGACCCCAGCCCCACGTGCAGGACATGGCGCAAGCTCCCGAGTTGGGGGAGGACACACTGCACCCCCCAGGAGCACCTGGCAGCCCCCTAGCAGCCCCCAGCACAGTGCTGGCAGCCAAAGCACTGGACATGGGGGTCTCTGTGGGGGACTGGCGGGGAGCAGAGACGGGTGGTCCCACGGTGCAGGAGCACGGCACTGAGCACCCAGCACCGAGCAGCTCCCCATGCCCTGATGGTGATGTGCTGGGGGGCTCTGTGCCAACCAAGACTTTCTCCTTGTCCCTGGTGCCAGATGGTGAGGAGCCAGTGGCAGGCGAAGGGACTCATGAGGCTGAGAGCATCCCTGGACTGGGAGAACACGTGGCTGGGGGTGAACAGACTATGCCCCCTGTGCCAGGGCTTGGGGCAGCGGGGCTGCCCCCAGAGGGCAACAGGCTGGGCATCACACCTGGAGGGGATGCGCCCGGGGGTCCCAGCACACTGCCACCAGGGGATGAGACACCGATGGGTATCTCCCTGCTCCCATCCACCCCTGAGCGCCGAGAGGAGCCCGAGGAGGAGGAGGAGGACACGGAGGACAGTGATGAGTCGGACGAGGAGCTGCGCTGCTACAACATCCAGGAGCAGAGTGAGGAGAGCGAGGAGGAGCCGGCGGCCGTCCCCATTGTGGTGGCCGAGAGCCACAGTGGCAGGAACCTGCGCAGCCTGCTCAAGATGCCCAGCCTGCTCTCCGAGGCCTTCTGTGAGGACCTGGAGCGAAAGAAGAAGGCCGTGTCCTTCTATGACGATGTCACCATCTACCTCTTTGACCAGGTGAGCGGCCCCATCAAGGCGAGGTGGGTACCCAGTGGTGGGCACGGTCTCCGATAACGGCATTATCTCCCACGGTGTCTCCTTTGTGCAGGAAAGCCCCACACGGGAGCTGGGCGAGCAGAGCTTCCCAGATGTCCCCGAGCCCTCGGTGCAGCCCCCAGCCAGCAGCAGCCCCACCAGCCCTGCCAGCCCCACGGAGAGGCTGAGCGCATCAGATGACTCCTCGGATGGCAACGCCTCAGAAGAGAGTAAGGGGGCTGTGGGGTCAGGGGGTGGCAGCGGGCTGACCCTGATGATGGGCTCAGCCCCCAGCCCTTCACTCTGTGTTGCAGGTGGAGGCTTTGAGTGGGACGATGACTTTCCTCTCATGCCGGTGAAGCCATCCCTGATGTCCTCGCTGACACCGGCAGAGCCTGACCCAGCCGTGCCCACGCTGGTGCCGACCCCGAAACAGGTGCTGCCCCTCCAGTTCTCCCGTTTCACAGTCTCTCCTGCCCCGGTGTCCCGGTTCTCCATCACCCACGTCTCCGACTCAGACATGGACTCCGTAGGAGGTGAGACCTCAACCGGACCCAGCACAGCTCTCTCCCATTGCCCCTACAGGCACCATCACCCCAAGGTGATTAAGTCCCTCCTGGTCCCCTGCTCACATCACCTGTCTGCTCACTTCCAGGCAGCAGCGAAGACGGTGACCGGGAATGAGCCAGCGTGCACCTCACCTGCCTGCGCCCTCGGCACCGGCACCGCCACCGGCACCGGCACTGGCACTGGCACTGGCACTGGCACTGGCCAGCGACTGCAGAGGACAGGGGCAGCCAGAGCCTGGTGTGAGCTCCAGGCACCTTGCTCCGTTTTTTAGGCAGATGTGGTTGGAAGGAGTTTGGGTGCTGCTGGCTGGAGCCGGGCACAGCCCAGGGTGAGGCGCTGTGTGCCAGCGGTGCGTGTGCGAGTGGATGGCTGCGTGTGTATAAATACATATATATATATATATAGACATATATATATATATAAAATTATAGCATTTAAAGGGTAGTGCCCTGACCTTGCTAACATTTGCTCAGTCCCCCCTCATTGATGCCCCCCCCACCCCACATTGGCTTTCTCCCCACGTGTGCTCCCCGAGGCGATCTTTGTCCCCACCTGCACCTTGATGCCCCCCCCCATACCCACCTATCCAGGGCTGGCAAAGCCTTTTGGCTACTGGGGGGATTCAGGGTGGGGGGCTGCCCCCTGCTTTTAGCCAGGCCCTTCGGGGAGCAGTCCCAGCCCTGCAGGGAACCCCGAAGGTCGGCGGGTTCCCCACCTCCCTGAGGCTTTTTGGGGGGGAGGGGGGCTGACCTGACTATTTTTGTATTTAAAGAAAAAAAAAAACAAAAACACACACACACAAAAAAAAGAACCCTAAAAAAAAACCCCCACAAAACCAAAACTTGCTGTTGACAGAACTCACGTTGCCGCGGTTTTAAGTTATTGTTGCCAAAGAGATGTAAAGAGTTTGTGGAGGCACTCGGGGGGGTTGGGGATGTCGTGGTTTGTTTGTTATTTTTTCTGTTGTTGTTGTTTTGTTGTTTTGTTTTTTTTAATTCATTTAAGGCTTAGGATAATTGTGCAATTCCAGCTCCCAGGAGGTTGTGGGACTAAGCGGAGCCTTTGGGAACCTTGAGATCAGGGCTGTGTCCTTGGGGGCTGATAGACCAAACCCTGAGGTGAGGAATGCCCCCCACCCACCACCACAGCCCCGTGTCCTGCAGCCCGGGCTGGCTCCTGGGAGGGGGGGCCGGGGCACAGCACACACACACATGTGTACACATGTGCCCTTGGGATGGGGCTGCTGCTGGAGGCTGCAGGGATGTTCTTTGGCTCCCATTGCCCACCCATCCAGCCTGCAGCTGGGCCGTGGCGTTTTAGGAGAAAGCTGTTGGAGGGGTGCCACCCCCTTAAAGGGAACAAGCGGTTCCCCCAGCCTCAGCCCCAAAAACCAGGAGGAGGGGGGCTGTGCCTCCCCACTGCACACCCCACACCCTTCCTGACATACCGAGCCCAATTCCTGCTTGAGCGAAGTGTATGATTTCAGCTCCCACCCCCACCACAGCCGCTTTGCATTGCAGCGGGGGCCCCCTGACCCCCCCCATACCTGCAGGGGCTGCTGGAGCCCCCCCAGCCCAGGGTTTGGTCTATGGCAGAGGCAGCCGCCTCTGGAGGGCAGCACGAGAGCACAGCTGCGTCCGCCAGATATGATGATGATGATTTTTTTTTTTTTTTTTTTTTAATAGAAGAGCTCCTCTGACATTGTATATTTTATCGATACGGGTCATTACTGCTGTATTTTTTATCAGTGCTGATTTCCATACAGCTCCCAGCATGTGTGTCAGACATCATCGGGCCGATAATAAAAGTTTTTAAAATATCGTACTCCGTTTCCTGCCCGCATCATTCCCTGGCACAGCCGTGGCTGTGGGGCTGCTCTGATTTGGGACCAGTGTTACATGGGAGAGCTCTGCTCCATCGCCGCTGCGGGGGCTCCACCAACCCAAAGGAAAACGCGGGGTGCCCGGTGGTGGGGAGGTAAATTTTATTGCTCATAAATTACTTCTTTTTTTTTTTTTTTCCTCTCATTAAAAAACAAAACAAAACAATTTCAGGTTACATCTTGCAGGTGCCCACCAAGGCAGGAGGTGCAGTGAAACCCCGGGCTCAGCAGCCCCTCGTATGGGGCTGGAAGAGGACGACACGGGGCTGATGACAAGGCACACTCCATCCTGACACCCCTACCCCAGCTGTGAGCCACCCAACCCTTCTGAAGGCCCCGAGATGCAGCAGAGCCTTCCCCTGCCCCTTGTTGCCCTGAGGCACAATACAGTGGCTCTCAGCACATGGCAGAAGAGTTGGCACCACACGGTGAGACCTGGGGTTGGCACAGCTGCCACCATCCTTGGGGCACATTGGGCAGGGTGCAACCCCTGCACTGCATTTTGGGGTGCTGCTGGGATGGGCATACTTAGGGACAAGGTGGTGGCTTCCCATGCGTGATGCAAGGGTGCCGGAGGACAGCACCTGGAGGTGGGCTGTGGTGGGCAGAATGCTGGGGGTCACAGTGCTGCTCCGGCCCCACAGAGGAAACAGCGATGTGTCCAGGAGCGAAATGTATCCCGGGGGCAGCCAGCATCACTTTGGCCCTGGGTGGGGATGCTCTCCTGGCAGGGCGCTTTCACAAGCCATGGGAGGGGGCACAGCAGTGCCAGCAGCTGGCTCTAACTGGAAAGCCCCTCCATAGCAGAACCCCACCAGCACTGACCAACGCAGTCAGCTCTCTGCCACCTGGGCTAAACCTACAGTCACAGCAACCCGAGCGGTCCTCTGCGCTCAAACAATTAAAAAAGTGCAACACAATGGGAAAGGCAGAACCTCTGAGCACTGCTCCCAGCCGTGCCTCACTGGTGCCAGCTGCATCATGCAGCAAAGATGCGGCTCCTGCTCCAAAAACCCCTTCCCCTTTGGCAGGGCCGGGGGTGTGAGTATATATGCGTATATATTTCAGTCTCATGCAGCCCTAGGAATAGTGGAAGAGAAGCAGCAAAGCAGGAGGGCTCTGGGGCTGAGCCTGGGACGGAGCACAGCAGTGCTGGCTATCCCGTGGCACGTATCTACAGAGCCCTCTGCTCCTCGAGTATTTCTTAGCTTATATCCTACAGCAGTACCGTAACACCCCCCCTATGTACACGGCCATGGCACTGCAGCAGCCCTGGGAGCAGAGTCCAGCCCCGACCCAGGGCTGCAGCACTGGCACCAGCAACTCCTTTGCTTAAAGGGAGACTGGGGCTCTCCTGCCCGCCCATTGCCACTGCATCCCATGAGAGCAGGGTGTCCCCCGTGCCTTCCTCCCTCCCCTGCAAGCTGCTGCCACTCCTAGAAGCAAACCTGGCTATGGGGCATGAGCTGGGAGCACGGGGTGTGCCACCGGGGGGGGGGGGGGGGGGAAGAGGGGGGGCATCAGGCTGTTTGGCAGCCATCTGACCTCCACCACTGCAAGCAGCGAGCTGGATCTAGAGAAGAGAGGAAATCGGGGCACTACAGCTTTAGCCTTTGGCTTTTCAAAGCAGCAGGATTAAATAAACTCTGCCTAAAAAGGCGGCTCTGGGAGGCAGCCATGCGCCGGGCGATGAGGCGGCGGCAGTGCCACGCGGCGGCAGCGCTCCCGGCATCAGCTGATGAGCGGCGCCGAGCGGTCGTTCGTCACGGTCGGTTTCAGCTGGACGTTGGCAAAGGGATTTCTGCAGGAAGAGAGGAGGGCAGAGTTTAGCAGAGGTTCGGGGAGTGCAGGTGTGGGGCGATGGGACGACGACACGGTGAGACCCCGCCAGCTCTGGTTGCAGGGATGCTCCGATGGCTCCAGGTGGCCCAGCACATCCCTGAGTGCAAGGTATGGTCCACGTGGAGCTTCCTCCTACCTTGCTTTTCAGCAGGCCTAAAGCTGAGCTCTTCCAAAGGGAAAAAAATAGGGGTGGCCGCGGGGTGCAGAAGCTGCTCTGGCACCTCCCCTGGGGAGAGTCCTGAGGTCAGCAGCACGGTGCACAAGGCATAGCTCCCTGCACCCGCTGCCACGGGACGTGCTGGGACAAGAGCAGAGCGCACAGCTCCGTGCCAAGCTGCATGGAAGCAGCAAAATGTCCAAGAGGCAGAAAACAGGGAGAGGATGGGCTCCTACTGCATGCCCAGCACCATCCTGCAGCCGCCCACACTCGCAGAGCGTTTTCCCTGGCAGGCAGATTGCTGCACACAGCATCTGCCACCACGCTGACACGCACACGCCCTGCACAGTGCCTTGCACCACCTCCTGTGTGTAAACAGCCCTGCTCTGCTGGCAGCCCCCAGCCCTCCCCAGCAGCTGCACAACCCTTCACCTTTGTGCTATGGCAGTTGCATATGGTTGTGGCACCCTCTTGGGGTCCTGTGCCCATTCCCATGGCTGGTACAGCCCAAGAGCCAACCATGAGCACAGACGTGGGGTAATTGGCATTAGGAGCAGCCACGCTATCAGCTGTGCTATCAGCTGTCTCCACCCACAGCAGCACCCACAGCAGCAGCAGTAGGGCCAGGGGGTGGGGCTGCAGTCCACCAGGTGCTGCCCCTCACCATGCCTCACCTTTGGATGCTTGTTTTTCTTTTCCTCAAAAGATAAATGGCTTTATGCTTAAAAATAGGGTAATTAATTTCCCACCTAATTAATGCAGATGCTTAGATCAGTTTTCCCCTTAGGATGCCAAAATAGATTCTTGAGACTGAAAGAGTAGAAAAGGAGGCTTTGATGAGTCACCAGGGGCTATTATTTAACTGTTTTGGTTCTGGCAGGGAAGAGCCATTGGGATGGGAACCCACAGCTCTGCACCACAGCAGAAAAAGCATGGGGCACACAGAGCTCCATCCCAAGATGGGGGGGCAGCTCCAAGACACAGCCCTGGAGCCAGGTGTGGGTTGGAACCCGTGTCTACAAGCAAAAGAAGCTGCTCAAAAAATGTCATTAGTGACCACACGTTGGCTGGGCAGAGCTCTGCAGGGTCCAGGTACCACTGGTGACCTACAACCAAAGGGGTTGGTTATGGGGTCAGAGCAGGGTGGGCAGCAGCAGCAGCAGCGCGCGAGAAGCTGGGACCCCTCTGCAGAAGCTCAGCAGCAGCAGCAGCATCCAATGCACAGCAGCAATGTGCAGAGCTGAGCAGCAGGGCTGGGTGTGCAGGGTCCCACCACTGGGGTGGGGACAAGCAGTGAGCGAGGGCTCACACAGCATGGGTGCAGGAAGGAGAGCGGAGGCACCGTGTGCCCAGCGTCAGCGCCCAGCACAGAGAGGGGCACGCGGAGAGACCGTCAACTTACTAACTATGGGCAGGGGGCATCTCAAAACCTGGCCACTTCAACATCGGGGCTGCAAGGGAAAGAGAAGGCAGGTTGGAGGACACCGGCATGCCTTGATGGGAACAAATGGTGGTGGTTAACGAAAAGAACCGGGTGGAGGCAGCTCTGGGTAGAGGAAGCAGGAGGGAAAAATAAAGTAAAAATAAAAGAAAGAGGAGGAAAAGTGGGACTGATTGAGTGGTGAGTCCAGCAGCACACCCTGTGAGGAGGGGAAGGAGGCACGTGGCTGCGAGTGGTGCAGACCTACAGGGAGGAGAGGGCAGGAGAGGAGGGGTGGGGGGGTCTGCTTCCTTCCCAATGCCCCCAGACCGATGCAGCCTTGCTGGGAGCCAGGCAGTGGGCATGGGGCAGCCCACTGGCATGCAGCACTGAAGGGAGCAGAGATGCAGCACAGAGAACAGGGTTAAACAGCTTTAACCCCTTAGCAAAGCTGCTTCAACACAAACCAGTCCAAGCTGAGCGCGGGCACTGGGCACTGATGGGATGGGTATGGCCCTTGGCATGGAGGGATGGAGAATGGCAACAACAAAAAACAAAAGGGCATGGCAATGCGGGCGGTGATGGCAGCGCACAGCACGGCAGCCGAAAAAGACACCGAGGCCCAGCTCAATGCAATAAATAAAACTTTTATTCAAACAATAACTCGATACAGGGCACGGTTCTCTCTGGCTTTTGTGGTTGTTTTTTTTGTTTTTTGTTTTTTTTAAAAGAAAAAAAGGTTTCAGCACTTTACAGTCTCCATCCAAGTTCTGCTAGGGTGGTCGTCTCCCCTCTACCTTCAGTCATTCAGTGTGACATACCCTGGGTTAAAAATCTTTAGCAAAATCGTGACATCGCTGCAGGAGGGTCTCATCACTGTCTGCTCATAGTGTATAAAACAAAACCTGGTCCGTGTGGCTGCGCGCTCTGCCAGCCAGATCCTAATAAACGGGCACGTGAGAGGTCTTAAAAATCACATCCGAAAAAAAGAAAGGAAGCGTGGCCAGCTCCGTGGTGCCCAGCCCCTTGGCCCCCAGCACGAAGGTGAGGTAACGATACCTTGCTACAAAAAATATATATATATATATATTTATAAAACAACGAGGAGGGACCTGCGGGGCCGCCCTTGAGTCCAGCGGAGCAGCAGCCGCTCCGGTGCCAGGAGCTCAGCCCCATTCACTTCACCCTATAGCCAGGTGGAAGTGGATTTGGGGTGCGGGACCCGCGCCGCCCCGCAGCCCAGCGGGTGCTCGGTAACAGTACGTACACCAGGCCATGCATATTGGGTCCATCCTGGGGCATCCTGCCCGCGTCCGCGGCTCGTGTAAAGCCCCAGAGGAGGGATAGTGCATCTCTAACATTCACAAAGTAGTACAAAAAACTGGGTCCCACTAAAAGTGTAAACTGCATCCAGGCTGCTTCAAAGCGAGCACAGACCGATCGGCAGTTTCTGCTCTGAAAAGGCGTCAGAAACAAGGGCACTGTGAACACCGGGGAGGGGTGGAGAAGCACCATGGTTTCCTTGAAGATCACGAGAGAATTTAAAATCCGAAAGTGGAGAAAGAGAAAAAGGAAGGGAGGGAAAAAAAAGAAAGAAAAAAAAAACAAAAAAAAAAGAGGAGGAGAGAGAAGCAGAGCGCTCTTCTGAGCAGCACAGTGCCGCCGTGAGCCCGGTGTCCTCACACCGTTGATACCAGACTGCTGCTGCCGCTGTGGAACAAAGCAGAGGAGGCTGCCCCAGTGCTGCTTCACTCATTGCCCGCGTGTTTATCCCAAGGACTGAGTGCATCCCATGCATGGCTCTGAGCAGGGCCAGGGGTCCCCAGCACCTGGGGGAGAAGGGAGCAGGGGAACCCCAAGAGGTGGCTGCAGAGACATGGGGCTCCTTGGAGAGGCGCTGGCCCCATGGGGTGTGAGGTTGGGTGCAGCTGGGGCTGGCCCTGGGACCTGCCCTCTGTGAGACACACTGGGTCCCATTCTGCTCCAAGATCTCCAAATCCCAGGCCAACAGGCACAGCCCCCCTCCCCAGGGACATCGCATCACAGCTTCACCCGGAGCGCACACCGACAATTCGCTTTTAGGCGATGAGAAGGTGAAGGCTTACCTGCTCACAGACCTCGTCCCATAGTCATCGAGACCCTACAGGAGGAGGAGAGGAAGCACAGTGAGACATGGGCTGCACCCATTCCGAGGCCACTGGAGCATCACAAGGACTGACCAAAGTGCATCGGCACCAGGGGATGCTTGGGCAAGAACCGATGCATTTGGAGATGGAAGGGAGAGGATGGAGATGGTTTCAACAGAACTCAGACAGCAAGGGGTAGAGTTGCACCATTCTCTTTGGAACAGGACTTGGTCTGGATAAGGGGAAGCAAGAGCTGAGCCTGGCTTGCTCTGCCCAGCCCCAGACTTTTGAGATGCGAGACACTCGGAAAGGGGTCAGAAGTCTGAGGTACATCAGTGAAATGCTCTGTGGAAGGGGTTTGTGCTGCATTAATTCCCACCAGAAACCATGTGGGTTTTGGGACCATTTTCTCCTTCAGCTCTCAGTGGTGGTTCGCAGGGCAGCACTGGAACCAGTCAGTGTCCCAGGGTCCCCCACAGCCCCCAGCATTCTAGGGACAGCCACTGGTGTCCAGCAGCACTCGTGTCCCTGGAATCACCACATCCAAGAGAAAACGTTCCCCGTGAGCAGCTCATTTCTGGTGGGAGACTGCCATGGAGTCAGCAAGTGTTGTCCATTGGGGGCTCACAGTGCCGCTTTGTGCCATGGCCCCTCGTGCCCTGCCCATTGCACCCAGGAAAGCCAAGCCGACCTTCCCCTCTTCATCCCCTTCTCTCCCACTGCTTCCCCTTTTCCCTGTCCCTTTCTCTGTCAGGAGAGATGCTCGGAAGGGGCTGGGACTGGGCCAGGCATGAGGGCAGCCAGACAAAACCAGGCAACTGCAGGTCCCAATGGCAACATTGCGTGCGCTCGGACTTACAGCTGTCGACCTAGCATAAGGCTTGTAGTGGGCGGGTGGTGGTTGGCAGAGGCCACTGGAATAGTCTTTAATTGCACAACCATAGGGCATAAGGTAGTCCTATAAACAATGAACACACCCTGTTGGAGAGGAGCTCCCAGTCACCGGCACGTGGTTTGCACCACGCTAACACCAAGACACTTCAACACGTTTCTTTCTGCTTTAAAAACACAGATGGGACACTGCTCCAGGAGAGACCAAAGCTCTGACACTCATTCAAGCATCTCCCATTTTAAAACATCCCCTAGTTCAGCAAAGCCCCATCAGTGATCATGGCAGCATGGCTCACCTGGGAGAAGGCGGGCACAGCCACGCTGTACGGCCTCTGCTTGAAGGTGTTGACGTTCTGCGATGGGAAGGCTTGAGAGGACATGCCGTAGTCGGGTGGTGGGATGGCAATGTCATCTTTGTCGAGCAGGTTGCCCGTGCTGCTGCTCTTCCCCTGTTGCAGGCTGTGGAGGAGACAGCAGGACTGTCAGCAGTAGCCAGCACCGCACAGCACCAGGAAGAAGGGCAAGATGCATAGAGCCCTCCCTGAGCGTCCCTCCTGCAGTGCCTTCTGTCCCCATCCGTATCCAACATCCCCATCCATATCCAACATCTCCATCCCCACCACCCCAAACACGGCACTGGAAGCAGTTGAGCTCCACAACGCCCCAGGAGGCACGGAGCTGCAGCACAGGTGTCACCAGCACCAAATGCTGCTCCCCACCACACCAAAGGACATTCTTTGGTGTCCCAACCAAAGAGGATGTTCCTTGGCATTTGTGCACACTGTCCCACAGGGACTTCACAAAGGGCTGCTACCAACTCCATTCTGTTCCATGCCTGGAGTTATCCCCACAGCCATGTCCTATTGTCTACGGGAAAGCAGAAAGTTCCCATCCCAAGGCAGCAACCCTACTCTTGGGGGATACACAGGGTCCCCACCCTGCAAAGCCCCAAGATATGCCAACACTCGGTGCTCCTACCTCGCATGGACCCGCTCACTGCCATCATTGTCAAGGACACGTGTGTAGGAGAAAGGAAACCAGCCCCTCCTGCAAGACAAAGGCAGGGCATCAGCTGATGGGTACTGATGGAGATGGAAAAGGCTGAACTGAGCTCCCTGGAGCCAGCCCCGAGGGCAGCAGCACTCACAGTTTTGTTTTCTCGCTCTCTCCATAGTGCCACCCATCCCTGGCCTCCGGCACCAGCAGTGTGATGAGGTCTCCCTCCTTGAAGCTCAGGAGGGTGCTGTTATCCCCAGCAGCATGAGAGAAAATGGCCTGCACTCTTGTCCTGCCGTTCCTCTCGAGCCCTGCAGCCATGGAGCTGGAGCGTGGCAGTGTCTTGTTTTCAGCTGGCAGGAGACAATGACAACAAGGGCTCAGTCCTTCACTTCTTCAGTATCCAGAACTCCAGCTCTTTTATTCTGCCCCAGTAAAGTCCTTGTGTCTGGTTCACCCCCCTGATGCCTCCGCACAGCAGCTGTTCGCTCCGCAGGCACTATGCACATCACCCACCACCCTGCAGCATCCTCTGTGCCCACCTTCACCTTTGGCATCCAAGCATCCTACAGTGTCTTGGAGTCTCATGGGTTGACTCTTTCCCAAATATCCCCTCTTCTCCTGCCACACTGGAGAGTTTTGCCCCAGTCCCACTGCATGGGGCAGCAACATCCTCATCCTTCATGTGCAGACACATGGAAGCCCAGGCAGGATGCAGCCCCTATTCTTGGCACCACCCAACAGCCACAAAGGAGCAGCCACGCTGCGCATCCTCCTTCCCATTCCTCAACATTTTCCTCCTGGAAATCCTATCTGTGGGCTCAGAAATTGGCTCTACTCATTCCCTAACACCATTTCTGGCAGCGTAGATGGCACCACTCTGCCACCAGGAAACTCACCTGAGGCATAGCTGTTTTTCGGGGTCACGTTTTTGCGAACGGGAAGCGTGTTCGAGTAAGAGTCGCTCAGCTGCTTCTGAGGCTGGGGAGGAGATAAAGATTTGGGCTGTGCTGGCTTCACCTCAGACCAGTGGTTGTAATCGTCACTGTCTGGGCCCGAGACTCCGTTCACCGCTGGCATGGCCTCCTGCATGCGCTATGGAGACAGGAGGGGAGGGAGGGGAAGATGGGGACGGCTCCATTAGGGCACCTAGCGAGCTCTGGGGATGGGCACGCAGCGCCTGTGGGGTTCAGCTTCCTCCTGACACACTGCTGCAAGCTGCCTTACACCCACCAAACCCCTCCTGAGCTCTACTGCTCAGCTGTCAGCCCCAGTATTGGGCAGGAGATCCTTTACTATGGGTACTTCTATCATGCAAGGTTGCTCCATGCACCTCTGCAACACACGTTGGCCTCTGGCACTGGGCAGGAGACCCTTTTCTGAGAGCAATTCCATCACACAAGGTTGCTCTGTGCACTTCTGCAGGGTGCCTCAGCCCCCAGCATTGACCAGGACTCCCATGTTTAAGAGCAATTCCACCATGCAAGATTGCTCTGTGCACTTCTGCAGGGTGCATCAGCCTTCAGCGCCAGGCAAGAGATTCTTCCCTAAGGGCACTTCCATCATGCAAGGTTCCTCCATGCACTTTTATGGGGTGCCTTGGTCCCACCTTGCCAATGCCAGCCCGAGGCCAGGTAAGTGCAACCCCTAGCTGCCCACCACCCACCCAAGCCCCCCAGAGCCACAACCCTGGGGTGTCCAGCCCCATGCGCCCACATGTGACAAAGGCAACTTGCTGAGGACAACGATGACGCTGGCCTGGGTCATCCCTCCAGCTTTGCTCAGAAGGGCAGGACAACTTCCACCACCAAGATACTTACTCCGACAAAAGGTGCCAGCTCCGGGGGAACAGGGAGAGGTTTGGCACCAGGAATGGGGTCAGAGATGATGAGGTTGGACTTGGATGTAGACAGAGGGCTGGGCATGATGGTGCCATTGCTGCTGGCAGCCATCTGCTGCATCAGCTGGATGGCACGGTCCGGGATCTTGTTGGGATCAGAGCATGACTGCTGCCACAGCGGGAGCTTCTGTGTCAGCATCTCTTTCCCCTGCAAGGAGGGAATGCAGCATGAGGGCACAGGGATGGGCAGCACCCAACCCTGCAGGAGCTTCAGCAAGAAAGGACCAAGAAAGGCACAGCACACTGGATGGACTCCTTTACGTATGGCACGAGCAAAGGAAGACCTGGGGACCCAGTGCTTCCAGGCTCTGCTAGCAGCAAAGCCAGGAAGAGTGACAAAAGAAGGAAGGGAAAGGGATCATCTCTCACAGCCCCACTCTTGGCACATGGCTCATACAGGCTGCAGGGATGCACCACTCTCCCCCCCCCAGTAAAACCACCATAAAACTGCAGGTCAGGATTCCCAATGACACTCCAACGTCACAGGCTGCAGTGCCCGCAGCAGGGGCACGTTAATGTGACAGATGCCTGTGACACCTTCACTGCACACAGAGACGGGAGGATCACACTCGTGCTGTGCACTGTGACACAGGTTCAGGGATGAGCTTCTGTTTGGGGCTGCTTAACCTCAGCAGCCTCCACCACCCACAGCCAGCACGCTGCTCCTGGCTGCAGCAAGAGGACAGAGCTGACCTCAGCCAGCTTATGCAGCCATGGCAACTGAGAGCATCCCATCACGCAGCCCCACGGGAGCAGATGTCCCAGTCCCACCTCTCCAGGTCACTCCTCACCCAAACACAGTGTTCAGCCCCACATACAGCACACCCAGAGCAGAGCTGAGCTGCAGGGGGTGGCACTGCACTCCTGCAGGTGCTCTCATGGGAACACAACCCAATGCACGCACCAAACAAAATAAACCTCCCACACCCTGCACAGATGCCCCAAAGGTTTCCTACTGCCCACCTACCACACACCTCATCACCCACCACCAGCCACTGTGGCCATGCACAGCACTCAGTGCTGACACTGCACCACCATCCCATCCGCTCAGCTCCTCTCCCTGCAAACTGCAGCAAGAGCAGGAGCAGCACCATGCCATGGCCACAGCTGCACTGCAGGTGCCACCACCTATCTTGGGGAGGGGGCTTTTCCCGTTTGAAGCAAGCATATGTTAGTGACTGATTCAGCCCCACGGCGCAGCACGAGGATGGTGCTGACTAAGCCCAATTCTTCCCGTTGCTCCCCAGTGCCAAGCGCGGCGGTGACAGATGGGTGCCACGAGTGCTGGGGGGTGGCAGAGAACACGCAGGAGGGGAGCACGAGGCTGCTAGGAGCCGTGTGCATGCAGCCTGTGTATGGGCTCTGCTCCAGCCCTGTGCAGCCCAGGGAATGGCCCCCAGCCTCTGTAACCAGGCTCGGAAGTGGACAGCGGGCTGGAGCAGATGGAGGTTTGATTCCTTCCTTTGCTATGGACAGGGGGTGATGTGGGTGGGAAGGGGCCCTCTGGCACCTCTGCAGGAACTTTGATCAGAGCAAGAACATCACCTGCTTTGCATTTCTTCTGCTTTTACGAATCAGGAGGAGCCGATGAATGAACATCTGGAGGAGCCCCCAAACCACAGTGACCAGGCACATGGCGAACATAGTGCATGCAGGTGAATACAGCCCTGCACACCCACCACTACCTCCCACACTGTGCAGGTGAAACTGCATCAAGAGAAGGCAGACAGCAACAGCACACCCACTGGGGTGACCATGCCCCAAAACCCTCCTGGCCAAGAGCTGCCCATGGCAGCCTCCAGCATGCCTTCCTGCAGCACCACTACATCACTGCCCTCCCAGCACACCCACAGCTTGCACCATCTCAGCCTGCTCCCCGTTGCTGCGAGCTCCCCAGGCACATAGAAGCCCCTTCTCACCTTGGCATGGTAGGTGATTGCACTCTTGGCCACAGCACACTGCTTCTCCACCAGGAAGCAGAACCGCCGCCTCTCCTCGGTCAGAGCTGTCTTATAGCCATCGGAGACGTAATTCTCCAGCTCACCTTGCTTGTTGCTGATGGCCTCAATGTACTGGAGAGGAAGAAGGAGCAGAGAGGTGACCGTGATGCCCGGTGTACCCCACAAGCACCCACACCTGTTAGCAGGGGAGATGTTTGTGGGTGGGAGTAGCAGCAGAGGCAGCTCGGGGGATGCCCACCGGGGCTCCTCAGCACAGGACACATACACATGTGCCTGCACGTCCCCTCCAACCCACCCGTATTCATCAGAACCCCACGCAGAGCTGCTGACTCAGCGCGCGGGCTGAGCCGTACTGTGCAGCCGCCCTCTCACCAAACGGGCACTGGAGGCTGTCCGGGCCCTCCCCCACCCCAATGCTGGCAGCAGCCCCCACTCATCTCCTCTCCTGCACCCCCGGGACAGCAATGCACATAGAACATGTGGGGCTGGAGCAACGCTGCTGGGTGCTACAGCCCAGAATAGCATGCATGAGGTGCACAGCCCATAGGAGCGTGCACACAGCATCTCCCCCCTTGGCACTGAGCTTTCTGCTGCAAGCAGCCATTCCTCGATGCCGGCCCCAGCAGGGCCCCTGCCAGCACCGGGCAGGGATGCTGCAGACACAGCAGAAGGAGGCTCTGCTGCTGGCACAGCTCCTGCTCCACCTACATGGCTTCTGCCAGCTTGACTGCTTGGCTGTGCCTGCGCACACTCTGCCAGCAGGAACGGGGCACGTTTGGTGTGGAGCAGAAAACAGCACATGGAGCAGACCCATGCGGTGCAAGCGTGGCACAGAGCTTCAGAACAGCACAGCGACTGCATCCATCAGCGCACAGGAGATGTTCCCATCTCCTAAACCAGCCTCTTCCTCCTCCCCTGCCCTCGCTCTGCCCCCAGCTCCTCTGCAAGGAGCAGCCAGCACCAAACCCCATGAGGAGCATTGCACATCCCCAGCTCCAGGACACGTCCTGCACCGAGTGGGGCACATTACTGCCATTGCCTCCTCCCAGGACAGAGGCATCAGAAAGCTATAAGCAGCCTGGGCACTGCTGAACCTGCTCCAGGATCCTCCCTGAGACAGGAACTGAACTGGAAATTCAGGGCCCAAAGCAGCTTTGCTGCTTTCTTCATGTTGAATGGTTATTTTTAGCATGCTACAGTATTTATTAGCAGACACACAAAATGGAGCAAACCTCAACAAAGCACTGAGATTAAGTGATGTCCCAGACATCAAAGAGGGCTCAGGGCAGAACTGGAGTCCCCGCCACCCCACGCAGCACCCCAGTAAGGGGGGGCCCTGCAGGAGGAAGCTGGCACCTGGCTGCTGTGGGGCAGCCCCACAGCACCAACAGGGCTGAAGGATGGGTAAATATCCCACCTGTAGCCACAAGCATCACTCCTAGGACAAATTTCTTTCTCCCAGCTCAGAAAATCTAGACATAAGAACTGCAGTACCACAGGTGTTTGTGCATCCCCCAAGTGAAGCTGCAGGGAGAGCTGGACTGGGGGATGTGGAAGCAGGCACAGCCTGGGGGTGGCACAGGCAGAGCAGGAACAGCAGCTCCTGTGTGGGCAGAGGTGTGCTGAGCATTGCCCTCCACCCCCACCAGTGCCAGCCTGGGGTGCAGAGCTGAGAGGTGTGCACATGGCAGCAGTGATGCTCCAGCCCAGGGATGCAGAGCTTGGCACCTTCAGCTCAGCAGTTTAATATATGGGGTTGGGGAGGAACGCAGGAGGGGCATGCAGTGTGCTGCCAGCCAGGCAGGTAAGCTTCTCCCAGCAATGGGAGACTTCCAGTTTTAATCACGACTACAGCACACAAAGCCTTATTTACATCCCCGATTCCAATCTTGCTTTGCAGCTATACTTCTAATTACTTCGCTAACGAAGGGCTTGCCTTAACGGCTGCGACCAGTTAGAACACGTCCATTTGCAAGCAGTCTGTGCACTAAATTTAGTGCTCTCGCTGCTTTGTGCACTGCGTGGAGATAAGCACAGCATGCCATGGGTTTGTTCTGAGCAGTGCTTTGTACACGGGTTACCCCACAAAACGGTGAGCACTACCAGCTCTCATTTGGGGCTCACTCCAATGGCAGTGCTGTGTCCCACTGGGGGTGACACCTGTGCTGCACAACCCATGGGCACCACTGGGTGCCATCACCACAGCGTCCCCACGGACAGAGCTTCAAATTCTCATTTTAAGCATCATCTAAACAAGAATCTCATCTCACAGGGGAAAGCCCCCCCACTCCATGGGGGCACCCAACCAGGCAGTGCTGGCGGTATGGAGCCCAGTGCAGGCGCCTCTGGCAGCTCCAAGAAGCTTTTCTGGGTTTCTAGGTTGGAGAAACCTCAGACAACCCCCCCTTCCCCCACTCCTGAGTGCATCACCTCGCTGTCACCGGAGCCGCTGACCCAATTAGCACAGCGGCACGTGGTGGGGCTGGAGCCCATCCCGGGGTGCTCACGGGTGGCAGCCCCAAGGGGAGCAGCACTGCAGGGTGGGGTGGGGACACGGCTGCTGCTTGGGGGCACCAGAAGCCCCGTGGTGGCACAGCTCAGGGATGCACAGCAGGGCATGGCATCATTCAGCATAGCTGGGGATGCTCCATTCAGAAAGCCTGTCTGAATCACTCCAGAGCAGCCAGCTAGCACAGGTGGAGGAGCAGTATCATTACTGAACTTCACCCAAGTCCTTAATAACAACACAGGTGCACTGAAAAAAAGAAATCAGTTCAAACCGTTCTACCCAAGAACACAAGAACTAGTTAAGGATGTAAGCCAAGGGCAATGCTAATCACCACGGCACTGAGCTCTGCTGCAGAAATCACCATGACAGATCTTTGTCAGCAATCGGGTGCATCTGCCAGCACAGCAAAATGGGCTGAGAGGAGGACCTGCGCAGACAAAAGGGGAGCAAACACAGGGAGCACACTGTGTGTCACCAGAAGACCACTGCAGGCACAGCCACAAACTTGAGCCGGATGCAGAGCAGGGAGGGGACTGTGACCCTGTGCTGTCCCCAAAACAGAGCTCCTGTCTGGGATGAGGTGAGATGGAACTGGCAGCACTCAGCAGTGGGAGATGGGGGTGAGGAAGCTGGCGTGCCGGGCTGATGGGGCAGGAGGCACTGCATGGAAGGAGTGACCACTGCGAGGAGAGGGGATCTATTTAAGGAACCACAAGGGAGAATAATTAGAAAGTAATGGGATAAAATAAGATAGAAGTTAGGCTGATTAACCAAGAAAGAGCTTTTAAGCTGTCAAATAGTCTCAAGGAAGAGCAGCTCCAAGCCTACAGCACAGCACAGGGTCAGAGGTGAGACCAGCAGCCCCTTGGCTTTCAGGAAAAGGTCTTCTCATCTCCAGAAGCTGCTCCTTGCATAGAGGTTACACTCCTTGCCTTGGGTTTTATGCTGAATTTTCTATTTCTTTAGCAGGTTTTGAGAACGAGCCTTGCCAAGGGATACACCCTGCATCCAACTCTAGAGGAGGCAGTGCCTGAGTCACATCCAAAAGCCCCCAACGCCTCCTCCAAAGAGCCCTGCAAGAAATAGCCCCCCCCAGCAAGCAGGCACCTGGTGTATCCCATCCCCATCTCCATTTCATCGTGGTCACCCCAGGTGTGCTGTGTCCTGCCACTGAAGCTCAACAGCTGCCCTCTCCCCCATCACTGAAACACGCTGCCTTCCCCCCTTACACCTCCATCTCACATCTGCTCTGCAGGGCAGTGCCTCATCCTTTGACTATTCCTGTATGCTTTATGTAACACCACGTACACAGCTCTGTGCAGGAACACGTTCCTGCAGCACAGTGCTTCCTGCAGCCAGCCCTCAGCCACGCAAATGTCCCCTCAACCTGGGGACAGCTCAGGGCAGCCACTCCATGTTGGGATCTGGTGCCAAGATGTGCATTACATGGGCTGAGTCCTGCCTTCCGTAAGGGCCACGAAGCATCTCAGCCAGAGAAAGAGAGGCTTTAGGCTTCATTTCTTTATCAAAATCAATCCACTCGGTTGAGCTTATTTGCAGCAGCTGCTGTGGCAGTTGCAGGAACAGCCCCAGGAAGCGGCACTCAGGCAGCAGGGATGGATGTGACAGCACGGAGCACAGCCCCAGCCCATGGCTGTGACTCTGCATTTGGACACAGCACCACCAGGGCTCAAAGCACAAGGAAACCGGGGGTAAGGGATCTGCAGCCCCGCAGCTTTTACGTAATTCCTCCCCGTTTGACTTTCACATCAGCCCTCGTAACCTGGTTGTGCACATTCCCCATCAGCCCGTGCTTCTTGACCCATCGCTAAAATTACTTCTCCCGGTGGGAACAGAAAATGAGGTTTCAATTACCAAAGTTTCTAAAAAACCCCCGGGCTATTTGGCACAGCAGTGTTTAATGCTCACACCGCTCCCACGGGAGCACACGGGGACAGCAGCAGGGACTGTCCCTGCACTGACCACAGCCACCTCCAACCCAGCCTCACAGGGAAGTCCCACTGCTCACAGCACAATGGATGGACAGTTGGAACCCACACTGCTGCTGGCTCATTCAATTGAGGTCTGAAATCCTAAAACCTCAGCAACCACAGAACAGGGAAAGCAAATTGAGGCAGCACCGCAGCCCAAACTTCCCTTCCCCTGTGCAACAGCTCTGGACTAATTCACCAGAAATCAAACACTGGCGTTACTGTCACCTTCAGCAGCACAGCCCTTAACCACTACACCTCTGCTGACAATCCCTGCAGCAGCCAAACCGTGCTCTGAGCTGCTGTAAGCAATGACTCTGTCTTTATGGAAAGCCACTCTGTGCTTTCATCCTGCAAAACCCCTCCTTGCCCACCGGACCCCACAGCTGCACAGCATCCAAGCTCTCACTGTGCACTGCTGTGCATGCAGCAGCACCGAGCAACCCCCAGCTCTGCAACCCCAAAACGACCCGTGTGCAACACCCACCCTTATTTCTGCCTTCCACATGGGGAAACCTCCACTGAAGAGACACAGGGAAGACAACCCAGGTTGTCCCAGCAGGTTCAAACCAATCCCATGCTGTGTTATGAACTGTGGTCACCTTGTGAGCACGGAGGAGGCAGATAGGAGCAATTTGCTTCCCGCAGCATTAAGCACAGAGATGATGACAGAGCATCAGATTCCTGGATGCTGAGTGCTACAGTAACTTAAGTAGATGAGTCTTCAAAGAAAGAGTACGATTTTATAGCCTTATTGAATGGGATGAGTTATGTCAGCACTGGGATGCATCTGCCAACAGCAGCTTTCCCATGACAGAACCAAACCATCACCCTGACTCCAACCCACCCTCACTGCCCACAGAAAGGTTTTATGAAGCAAGAACCCCCCATTGAGACATGAGCAGCTCCTCCAGCATTGAGGGAGGACTCTGATCTGAGACTGGGGAACAAAGCCAGCAGTTGAGCAGTTTCATTGCTCTTTAAGCTTAAAAGCCATCATAAGGCTTTTTTGCCGAGATAAGCACTTCCTAAATACTTACTGCTGAAAGATTAAAGGAATGAAAGCCTGATCCTGTTTTCCTCTTTGCCCACAGATGATGTGCTATCAGAACTATCCCTATTGGTGCTGCTTTGTGGTGGGAGCACCAAACCATTGCTGCTCCTCCTGGCTGCAGTGGGTTCCTTCCTTTCTCCAGTGCGTGGTGGGAATCCCAGCAACACAGCAGCCCTGGGGACCCCACAGGAGTCAGGAGGCCCCAGCAGCACTGCCCATCCCTACCAGCAGCTCTTGTAGGTGAGGGGACCCCTCTGCAGGTGCTGATGCCATGCATTTCCTCCCACAGAGCCGCCTTGCTGCTCAACAGGTCTGCTCTCAGCAGAGATCAGGAGCAACAGATTGCAGAGACACCAGCACTCCAAAGTGGTTTCAGCTGCTCAGCTTTCAGGGAAGTGCCAGCCTGCACGCGGGACACCTCAGTCACACTGCAGCAACACCTCCTGAAGATGCTCCAATTAACCGTGCACAAGCAGCTCGGTACAGACACAGGAGCTGGGAGGCTGCAAATGAAATGAGCTCAGCTCGGAGCACTTCAGCTCAGCACAGGGGCTGTGCTCAGCCTGGATGGCTGCTGAAATGTTTTTTTTTTTCCTCCTGTGATTATCCTGATTCATGCTACCGAGGGAACAAGCAATCTCCCAGATTTTAGTGCAATTAACAGCGTCACTTTCCCAGCTATCTGCTAGTTATTTACTGCATTCCTGTGCACAGCCCCAGCGGTGCTTAGATTCCTGTTGGCAGGGCTGTGCTATCGGCCCATCAGCTACCAGTTGCAACAAAATCTGGTCCCAACATAACATCTATTCTCTTAGACACAGCAGCACGCAATTTCCAGCTTTGGGGTTAAACTTCCTCTTTTCCCCAGCAAGGACAGCGCTGTGCTGCAGCACTTGCAGCCAGAGCAGCTCTGCAGAGAGATGCACCAACCTCTTGTTAAAGCCTGCCACGCTGAGACAGCTCCCAGAGCAACTCAAATCAAAGCCTACAGACCGATTCGTGCCACGGGTGCATCACAACACTGCACTACAGTCCCTCACCATGCCACGGGATGCATCCAGGGATGCTCAGCAGCCTCGCTCTTCAGCCTGCCAGCAGCCAAAGCTGTGCAAAGGGGCTGTGAGCCCCCAGCCCTGAGCAGCACAGGCACAGCCCCATCAGCACAGAGCAGCCCACGCCGCAGTCACGCAGCCATGATTCACTTGCCAGCCTCCTCCCTCACAAGCTCGCCACCGGGCGGGCTGGGGGAAGGGCCGCCCGTCAGAAGGCACTGAAAATATTTAAGCAAAACACCATCCAGAGGGAGATGGATCTGGCACAACAGAAACTAATGATCTTTTCGGGTTCATTCATTAGGGAGGAGGGGAAAAAAAGAAAGAAAAAAAAAAAACAAACAGTAACCCAACAAACCACCAGCTGTGGTGGATCCAGCAGGGTTAGTCACCACCAGCACACCTCTTGCATGGCACCAGCACAAGCTCAGCTTGGGCACAGTCACATCCCCATGTCATCCCAGTGCCTCCCTGGCTGCTCCTACAGCCCCAGCACACAGCTGGGAGGGTGATGGGCACAGGGGTGCTGCCCTCCCCCCGCCCTGCTCCTACCTGCAGCTCCTTGTCTGAGTACTTCTGGGGGTTTTTGCTTCCTTGGCTCTTCTTCCGCAGCTTCTTCAGCTCAGCCTGGCACTTGTCGAGCGAGTCGCCCTTGTTCCTTTGCTCTGTTTGGTATTTCTTCAGCGCAGCCTGGGGGTGAGAGGGGCTGGCTCAGAGCAGCCCAAGGGGGGGCGATGCGGAACCCCCAGCCCTGGGAGCAAACAGGGGTTGGGAGACCACATTCCAAATGGTGACACATCTGATGGCCCAGGGACATGGCCAGGGGCTGAATTGGGACACTTACGCTCAGGTAGCGTGAGTCCAGCTCCACCTTCTGCTCCAGCTGTGTCAGAAGCTCGTTGTGGAAGGACTTCAGCTGCAAGAAGAGAGCAAACACAGGTTCTGAGCTCTGCCACCCAGAGCATCACTGAGCACTGCCCAGAATCCATGTGATGGAAACCAGGGCTGCACAGAGCTGACACCAGGAGGGCAGCGGGGCTGGGGCTGAGCAGGTGAAAAGGATGCTGCCAGCAGCACGGGATGGACAGGTGCTCAGAGACAGACCTGGTCGCAACACCAGCAGATTGAGAGGGACTGGGTGCCCTGGCTGAGCCCTCACCAACTCCAGAGATCTGATCTGGGGGCTCAGAGGGGTTCTTTCTGCCCAGGCTGAGCACCACAGCACCAACATGTGCTCACCATTTCCTCCAGCTGGTTCTGGATCTGCCTGTGGACTTCAGCCATCTGGAAGAGCACATCTCCTGGAACGACAAGGCGAGAGGAGGGGGCTTCAGGCACGGAGCTGGGGGCACTCAGACAGGGGGAAGGGATCCGTTCAGCTTTGGTGGCTGTGAGCACACCATGAAACGGGGCAGCCATGCTACAGGGGAAGGGCTGTCCCAGCAGAGGGATCCCAGCTCTGCTTCCACTCTTCCTTCAATTCTTCTTTTCCAATACAAGGCCTTCAAGTCTTGTTCCCACTCAGCTTTCCCCAGACAGGAAGAGCCACATCCTGCCCCAAAGCCCCACCACAGACGGAGCCAGGCAGCCCCACAGAGCCGCTCTGCAGGAGCTGTGCCAGCCTCAGACCCATGGCACCATCAGCCCCAGCCCACACCAGGTCACCCTGCTCCCATCCCCATGGGACCATGCACACGGGCCACGCTCCAATAGCAAGCAATTAGGAACACTCTGGTCCAACGTGCTTTAGCTCACAGCTGAAGCAATTCGTACTTTGCACCCGCACAGCGCGTCTCAAAACTCTGCAAACATTCAAATCTGACCCCTTTGTTCTGGGCATATGCCAGCCCCTGTGCTTTGAAAGGGGGAAAATCTCAAAGGGCTGAGGGCGCTGGGACAGGCGCAGGGTGGCACAGGGCAGGGAGCAGAGCAGTAGTGCACAAAGTAAGGCGACCAGCAGCTCTGCTCCCACACCAGTCCAGCTCTCCGCAGCTGGAGACACGCCATTAACTTTTACGGCTGCTTTCCAAGATGCTGAGCAAAGCAAAGCCGAGCAGCCCGCGGTGCTGAGGTGCTGCAGCCGTAGTAGCTCCATACATCGGCACTGAAAAAGCTCCACTCATGAATGGGAAGGCCTGGGCCAAAGGTTACCCTGACAAGACTGCAGGAAATTGCTCTCCGGTTGGGCTGTGACTGCTCAATCATAGGAAATGCACAAATTCCCACTACCAGGAGGGCAAGAAAAGTGACGTCATGCTGTAGCTCAGCTGAGATTTCTTTTTCTCCAAGAGTATATTGGCACAAAGGTGGCTTCCCCATATTTCCAAAGCTCCCGCTGTGCTCTTTCCCCTTCCCATCAGATCAAACCCAGCAGTAGCAGCAGTCAGGCCAGGGCTCTGCCAGCACTGCTGTGCACAGAACACATGCAGGGAAGGGATGAGATGCTCAGAAATAACACACAGCCCCAGATCAGCACCGTGCAGCTCTACCCCTGCGCTCCCCACCCAGCTCCCAGCAGCAGCGAGGTGGAGGAGCACCTCCCAGGACACCGATTGCCATCTCTGCTGATACTTTCTCCTCCACCATCCCCTCTGGCTGTTATCACAGCTGAATGTGGGGAGTTTCAACCCGGCTGGATGCTGTTCCACATCAAACCGGGCAGGGCAGAGCCGTCTCTCCTACACTGCATGTCTCACTGCCCTGTGTGCATGTGCTCCAATGGGGTCAGTGCTGCTGCTTTACCAGCTTGGGTGGTGGGTGAGAGGGAGAACCCAGAGCCTGCACAGCTCCTCCAGCACAGTGCTGAGTGTGACACTGCAGGGACACTGAGGAGCAGCCCTGGAATGTCTGCGTGGGGAACACAGAGCACAGGAAGGCTGCAGGCTGCCCGCCCAGCATCAGGTCACAGCGGCTTCCTCTGAGGTTCCTCCAGTGCTGGGAGCCCTAAGAAATTCACTCTGGGTTTCCCATAGCAGCCTTCAGAGCTGGGAGCCCGCACAGGGTGGTGGGTTGAAGCTGAAGTCTGAATTGCAGCTGTAATGTCACACACCTCCAACACCCCGACAGCCTCACACTACATGCTGTGAAAAGGCTGCAGACCTCGTTAGGCATTAACATCTCACCCTGAAACCACCCGGACTGACACAGCTCAGCAACAAGAGGAGAAGTTAAAATGTGACTCAGAGATATCACAGCCTCTTGTGAAGCCAAAATATTGCACGCCCTGGCTGATGGTAGGATCAGCAGCACGGGGCGGTGCACGGTGCTCACGGGGGGCTCTTCCCACCTCCCTCCCACACTGCTGGCACCGTGCTGGGGCTGCTTGGAACCAACACACTCAATGATCCCTGCTGCAAACAGCGTGGGTCACATTGGGAATTAGATAGAGGGCGAAGCACCATCTTCGCCCCGTGCCAAAACACACACGCTCTAAGCCAAGAAAGCAAAGCAAAGCGTGAAAGCTGAGGTCAGAAACAAAGAGCCACGGGGTGGGCAGGAGGGCAGTGCCAGGGCTGTGCCTGCTCTGCAGGGAGGCACACACAGGCCGGGAGCTGCTATTTGCGTCGGCGTGACTCACGGTATCGTGCTGGGAGAACTATAGGGACCATTGTGGGCCCTTCCCCAACCACACCCAGCGAGAAACGGCCAAACAGGTTGTTCCACATCACTGAGATTGCAATTGGGCACCACGCGCGGAGCCAGCTGCCCGGCAGAAGGCAGAGCTGCAGGAACCGGCTGCTCCTGAGCCCGCGGCTCTGAGCCTCGAGCTAGAGAAGGGCCATTTTTAATGAAATATCAAACAATGCAAAGCCGCATAGGTGCTGGGCATCACTTCCTCGCTCCATACAGCACATGGCCCCGCTCCACACCGGCACCAAGCATGCAGAGCTCAAAGCTAAAGAGCACAGTGCCAAGCTCTGCTGCTCTTCCACACTGCACCCAGCTTCACCCCCTGCTTTGTGGAGGAGAACAGGAGAAGCAACAGCATTGAGAAGGGAAGCAACCAAGCAGGCAAGGAGGAGCTCATTAACGAGGGAAAGCAGCAGGCAGCAAAAGGCAGGTTGTTTGGGCAGCTGCCTCCTGAGCTGTGCGTTGGACAGGAAAGCTCCAACAGTTATTTTCTGGGGGGAAAAGCACCAATTTGTGCACAGGGTGAAGTCCCATCTGCTCCCCACGCGCTGTGTCCTGCCCTGCCCTGCGATGCACAGCCCAGTACGGCCCCGGCTGCGATCAGATGGCACTGCTCAGGGTTTGGCTCAGCCACATACAGGACAGAAGCGTGCTGCTGAGAACTTCTGCAATCCTATTTCCTCCCCGAAACCAACAGATCGGGGTTCAAGTTCACGTGGCACAATCCCAAACGAGCCCTCAAGTCCCTGAGAAAAGCACTTCGTGGCTGAGCCCTCATTCACACACAAAGGGTCCTGGATCCAACTTCCTATCAGCTCTGACATGAAACTGCAAAGCAACATGGAGGGAGATTCACGCAAGCACTGAGGGGGGGTGGAAGAACACGGGTACAGGGAAACAATCAGCTCTGCATTTCCTCTTCAAAAAGGTTCCATTTATTTATCACAGCCGAAAGGATCATGCAGGATTTGTTGATGTTATATCAGCAGCTCATCAGCATTACAATGATCACTTCTGTTCCCAGCCTCTGTTCCAGCCCAGCTTGGCAAAGCTTTCCACTTGTTGGTTTTTTTTTTTTTTTTTTGAGACAAAGAGGGAAAAAAAAAAAGCCATTGCTTCCCCAGCCTGCCTGAGTGCAGGGCACGTTTCCAGCTGTGTGCAGCATGGGGGTACAGTACCCACCAACAGGACCTCTGCTGGCATGATGACCTTTGGCATTTGCAGGATCTCTATCTGCATCTCTGCTGCTGCAGGAAACTCCTACCCCGAAACGGCTGCAAATCCAATTAGTGGATTAATACATCTCCCCTGAGGATTCAGTGCAGCACAAAGCCTCCTAACCACGCCAAGGCCACCAGGAGTCAGGTGGAACTGCAGCACTGTGTCCCAAAAGTGCTTGGGCCTTTGGGACAGAGCTGGGCTCTGCCCTGAGCTCAGAGTCCCTCCTCAGGTATGGGACACCCAGAAGACAGTGGCCTGGCACCAACACACATTTTGAAAGCCACATAAAGGTCCTTTGCAGCTGTGCCCCATTGACACCAAGCTGCCGTGGGCACCAGCCGAGGGGACCTTGGTGAAAAGCAGCCCCAAAACATCCTTCCCCAGCCCTGAAGGAGATTTCTGCAAGTGCATTCAGCCCCCAGCACAACCCAGTACAACCCACAGAAGCTGCATTTGGAGCAGTACCCGGCTCCTGGAAAGGTCCCAGATTGAGGCCAGAGCAAATCTTGCCTGATCAGGCACAGCATTAACTCACTCCATCTTCTCACCCTCCCAAAAACCACCTCTCAGCCAAGCGGTGCACACCCAAAAGGAATTGCAGGCTTGGGTCTAACCCTCCAAGTCCCAAAGCTGGATGGAACCAGAGCCAGACAGCTGGGTCACATCCATCCCAGCGACTCAGCTGATGGCAATGCCAAGAACAGTCCGGCCCTGACCATACACCAGGCTCAGCTCCTCGAGATGCAAAATCCAGGGCAGCGTGAGGCACAGCACGCTGGGAGCTGCAGCTTGCACCACCGCCTTGGGTGCAAACAGGAAGATCAGACTCTGAACACCCCAAACCTCAGCGGTGGGGCTGGCAGGGCTGTGCCCACCCCACCCGACGCCTGCACCCAGCACAGAGCCGATTACAGCTCAGGTGCTTCATTACTGCTGGGCTTCCCGTTGCTGCACCAGATTATCCTGTCTCAGCACTGCTGTTAAAATCTGGTGGAGAATTTGTGAGCTATGTGAAGCACTAAGCAGGCGGGGAGAGTAGAGCTAAGCTGGGGGCAGCAGTCTGGCGAGCAGAGGCTGAATGTGTGCAGCAAGGTGAGCGTGCAGCATCGCTGCAGCCCAAGGAATGTGCAAATACAGCCAGCACCGTGCAGCACGAGGCAGCAGGACCCTGTGCCATACACCCAGCACGTCTGCAGACAGGGATCACTGAGTGGTTTCCCAGCACCCAGATTAGGAGCTAAGCTCCTCTGAGCTGCACGTGCTATCGAGGCATGGAACTGGGTGCAGAGCTGCTGTGGATTTGGGACATAGGTGGACTTGTTCATCATTTTTAGGCACAGGATCTGCAATGTTTTTATGTTCTATTGATGAGTTGGCTCAGAAAAAGCACCAAAAAATAAGCACAGGAGAGAAAAGAGGAATAAGTCTCAGATCCTTGCCCTTGGAGGCCAGAAGCTGCAGCCCCAGCAGCACCCCCACCTACTGCAGCAGTGTGACACAACCCAGACCCAGCTCCTTTCCAACACTATCAGCCCTCACTGATTAGCTCAAGGTGTGCCCAGAAAGAGCAGTACCTCTGCTGCTGCAGGCAGCACAGCCCCATCTGAGGCATTTCACAGCCCATTGGGACAGGGTGGTGTCCTGTTATCGACTCCACAAATGTTATCTCCACTTTCTTCCTCGTGGAACAGCCGCCACCATAAACATCAGCAAAGATCAGCACAGCAGGATGGCTGAGAGCTGCTGCAGGGCCAACAGGAGCTGCCCCGTGCCAAACCCCAGCACTGCACGCAGGGAACAGCCCTGCACAGCCCTCCCATGGGCAGAGGGTTTGTGGCCCAGCTCCCACCTGCACAGCCCAGAGTCCCCACCACATTTCCACTTCCAGGGTGACTGCAGAGCGAGCTGGGAGCACAGAGCTCATGCAGGGAGGGGAAGCATGAGCATGGGGAAAACAGCTCCCTGAAGAGTAACTGGAAGAGGGAATGCAGGTGCAGAACATCAGGACTCGTGATGCAGCTCTGAGCTGAGCCCAAACAACAGCATCACAGAGGGACACAGGCAGGGCACTGACTTGCACTGGGCCTTGCACATCCCCCATCCTGCCAAGGGCTGCAGCCCAGCAGCACTGCCCCAGCTCAGCGATGCCTTCCTCATTTCTAAAGCAAGAGAAGTGCCGTGAGAGCAGCTCTGAGCAAACACTTCCTCTTGGCAAACACCACGTGCTGACAACATCCTCAAATCCCCCGACTGAGATTAGCAGATTTCTCTTTTCTTTTAAAAGCTACATGAGCAGTAAATAGAGATAACGGGCTATTCACATCAGGCAGGGTCAGCTCCATGCCCAGCTCCTCATCCCCAACAACAACACAGGTTTGGTCCCATCCCTGCTCTGGGCTGGGTCTCCACTGAGCCATGAATCGGTGGCTTACCCAGCTCCTTGGATCCTTGGCTCTCACTGGCCAACTCTCCCATCTTCACCAGAGCATCGAAGTATCCTTTTGCTGCATATGTCATACCTAAAAGCATGGAAAAAAAAAAAAAAAAAGCAGGTTATAGACTTGGCTGGCAGCTATTATAACTCCTGCAGCACCGAACAGGCGCTAGACGCTAAAAGAAAAACAGCTCTGACTTCAAAGAGCTCAGCCCCACAGGGAGGGACGAGACAACAAACAAGCAAGAGGAGCAAGGAACACACCGGGAAAGAAGAAAGCTGGAGCAGCAAGATTACAGAGCTGCTCAGGAGGGGAAAGCAAGGTACGTGCAGGACCTCGGTGGTTTTCATTCCAGTGTAACCACCAGAGCTCAGCAAAAGTGCTGCAGAATAATTGAATATCACAGACTTTCATTATAGCTCAGTGCTGTTTGTTGACATTCCAGCTCCACGCTCGGCTTTAATCAGATAAGCAGGGGGTTTCCTCTAATCACGGAACACGCTGTACAGCTCAGCACCACCGCGCTCAGCAATGAAGCCTCTTCCAGAGCTCATCCACTGAGGAGGCTCTGCCTTCAGGTGTCCCACCAGCTCTGGGATCCCAAACAAACAATGACTGAAGACAGCTGTCGAGCTTGCAGGAAGATCTTGGAGCAGAGGTGTGAAAAAAATGGAAATTCCCAAGTGCCACGTCTCTGGAACACCTCCTGGGATGGTTACTCCCCCACTTCCTGGTCAGCCTGTGCCACTGAGAGCTACTTTGGAGAAGAAATTATTCCTAAAATCCTCTGGTACATGGAAGACATCACCTCTCATCCTCAATGCTGCTGCACAGGAGGGTCTGTGAGCACTCCAAGTCCTCACCCTGTGCCATGGGCACCTCCCACACCATTAATGCCCTCTGGGAAGCAGTGGGGAGGGATGTGGACCCCTCACAGGCATGCAGCAGCCCTGCCTGGCCTGGGGGAGATAAGGAGTGCTCCAGGCACATGCAGAGCAGGAATGCACAGAGCAGGAATGCGCAGATCCTTCCCAGAGGTCGCGCTTCAAACACCACCATTTAAGACTATGAAACCTTTTTTTTTTTTTTCCTACCAACTTAAGATCATGACAGCCTCCGCCCTTAAAGGCATCTCCAGCAATCCAATTAAAAAAATAAAATCCAGGCGACGTGCAGCGCAGCTTCTGAAGCGAGCGGAGGCGAAGCAAATGTCCTCTGCATGAAGCTGTGACAGAACAGGGCTGGACAGGACCTGGGCAGCACAAAGTCACCACGTCACAACTGTTTGGTTTTGGTTTCCATCAATCCACGGTTCACCCAATTAATTCCATGCTCCTCTAACAGCCCCCAGTGGGACCCGGTAGGCTCAGCAAAGAGCTGCCGCCAACAATTGTGTGTGGAGAGGGGATTTAATTTCCTCTGCAACTTGAACACGTAAACAATACTTTTAAATAGAGCTTTAACTTAATTTTAATGATTTAAGAGCACCGAGCAGCCCCACATGGGCTCGCAGTCCTCCGACAGTGTGCCAGCAGCACAGCATCACTTACTTGCTAAGGCTTTTTCATAGGTCTTCCCCATAGAAATGAAGTTCCTGAGGCTGGGGTTGAACTGCTCCATGATTGTCTGGAAGAAAGGAGGACAGCGGGTGTTAGCAGAGGTGGCAGCAGGGCAGCTCAGTGTGTCTTGAAGGGCAGGAATGGGGTGAAGGACGCACCCACACCTCCAGCATCACAAGGGGGATGGTGGTTATGCACTGATGTGGCCACATTTCAACCCATGCTGCTCGATGGCAGCACACCCACTGGGCAAAGGGCAAAGGTTCTGCTCCTTTTGGGCAGCTCCAAGGGTGAGAGCTAAGCCAGGCATGGCACCAATGATTGGACACAGCCAGGAACAGCCCATGCTGCTGCACTCAGCATCATCCAGCCCCACCATGCCCTGCAACCAGTGTCATACTGGAGCTGCACACAGGGAACTGCACCCGAGTCCCCTGCAGTGCAGCCACCAGTGTCAGAGCAGCAGCACATCACAGCTCACCAGCACAGCCTCTCTGAGGTCCTTATTTCCAAACAAGGGGAGAGGAGGACTAATCGGACCGTGCCCAAAAGCTGCTCAATCCCCAGCACTGATAGCATCTCTAAAACCAGACACCAACTCCAGCTGAGCTGGGGAGGGAACAGCAGCTCCATGCCCACTGCACCCCCAGAGCAACCTGAACCCAAAGCAGGGCATGTGGACAGCACCCACAGCACCATGGGGAAGGGGCTCAGCCCCCACCCCACTGCTGGCAGCATCCCATACTGGGAGGGAGACAGACAGACAGACACTTCTGTCCAATAAGCTGATTAAGCATCTGTCACCTCACCCAAAGCTGGCCAAACACACAGAGCTCATTTTCTGCCCCAGGCATCCTCAGCCCCAGCTCTGCTGCACGCCCTTTGCGGGCTGCAATGGTTTCATTTCCTTCTGTGGGTGCAGGGCAGGCTGTGCATAGCTGAGCTCATGACAGCTGGGTTCCATCCTGCCTTGGGATGCTCCAGCCCAGAGACAGCACAGTGAGCACCCAGCTAATGAGAGCTGCAGGGCTAATTGAGGCCGGGGCAGCACTGGGAACATGCTCAGCTTGGAAGGAGAAAAGGACCTGCAGCAGCAAGCAGTGCAGTGAGGTGTTCTCTGTAATTGTGGGAGAAGATTGCATGGGGGTTAATTGGCACTGGGGAGGGCTGCTCTGCACTTCCCACTTCACATTGACATATCCCTGCTGCTCCTTCCCCAAACCTGGGGCAGCTGAGAGGTACAGCAGCACCTTGGGGTATGGCACAGCTGTTTGGCAGCAGCAAACCAAGAGCAGAAGCGTTGCAGAAAGGCTCTGCTGCTCCATGGGGGGGGAGGAGGCTCCTTGGCAGCCAAGTAAAACTCATGGAACCCGGAGAGGAAGTTTGCCGAAAGTGAACGTTTTTAAGACACTGCCTGGAGACTCCAACACAAATAGCCCCACAGGAGAAGGGAATTAAAAAGGGATCTTCACTACAGAGATAAAAATAGAGGTTTCTAAGCCGTATTTTCACTCCTGTGGTGGGAAGAGAAGCCAACTCCAGAGCTAACACACCTTCATCTCCCCAGTGAGAGATGCTGGAAAGCTCCCAGCTACTATGGAGAAGCAAACACTGCAGATAAACACTGAGCTCACACCAGGGACCACGCTCAGAGCCTGGGGAGCCCAGGCAGGGGTGCAGCAAAACCCCGGTGATGGAAGCACAACTTGCCCTCTCTCCAATTCTGCTCCATCAGCAGCACCCACAAACCCGCTGCTTGGGCAAGAGTTTAGAAAAACACAGATGACAAAACCTGGCAGCAAAAGGTTGGAAGGGCTGTGCTTTGTTCGGCGGCGTTGACCTCCTGGGTAATGCTGCTCAGCTCTCTGGGATTGGCACGGCTTTGTTCAGCTGCCAGAAAAGAAACTAATGCGAAGCACGAGGTCTCCAGGCCACAGTCCTGGGAGTGGGGGGAGAGGAGTGCATAGGAAGCGAGCTCATTGCCTCTCCACTCCGAGCACGCTTCACAAACGGCTCACCTCCTCCTCCAACGCCATAATCATTAGGCGTTTAGAATTAGAAGTTTGAGCACTCCCCAGGAACGAGCTGGAAGCAGAGCTGGCTCACCTCGTGTCACGTTTGTTCCTGCATAGAAAGCAAACCTTCACAACACCTACCCAGGGTCTTTACAACCACGCTCCACAAAGTCCATCCCCCTCCAGCCCAAAGGCAAACCCTACAGCTGAATGCCAGAAGGAGCTGAGGACGGCCCCCAAGCTGCCAGGACAGCAGTGATGTCCCACACCTCCAGCCCAAGCGTTGGGCTCTACTTCTACATTAGAAAAACCACCAACCTCTGCTCTTCCAGCATTGCTCCACCACCGTGCACAGCCCTGCAGAGCCACCCGGGTGACATCCCCATGGGATGGGTGCTGTGACCACACTGTGATGGCACTGCCACGCCGCAGCTCAGCCACAAGGAAGTTTTGTTTCTAAATGGGTCAAGCCCTGCCTCGGGAATGCCTTCCATTATTTCTGTGTTAATATTTAATGCCCAAACAAACCCTGGCGCTGCCTCCATCTCAGCACGTCCTGCCCTGCACCAGCAGATCTCAGCTGCAAACAGCACCCCGCACTGTGCTGCTCCAGGAGCATCCCCAGCAGGAGCAGCTGGCCCAGGCAGCACTTAGCATCAGCTGTACCAGACACCATGCTCACAAACAAGGGACACAGAGGAAGAACAGGGACCCTTCCAAAACCACTTCATTTCTACTCAAGGCAGCAGAGGATGAGGACACCCAAGTTTCAGGGCTGGAGCACGGATACAGGGCTGAAGGACCCACAGGGCACAGAGCAGCTGCTGGCTCATGGCACCCACTGCCAGCACCTCCCCAGGAGCCACCAGCAGTAACCCACGGGCCCACCTCACCCAGATGATGAGTCCCTGCTCTGGGAGGTTTGCAGCACACTGCCCTCCACCCTGCAATGCAAGCAGCAGCATTGTGAAGCCACACTGTGAGCACAGCATCAGGAGCCACCAAAGACAAAGGCACCACTGACCCAAGAACAGTGCAGGAACACTTTGGGGTACCAGGGCAGACCATGGGCTTTCCTTCTGCATTGCACACACTAACCTGCAAACTGCAGCAGTCCTGAGGCACACAGCATCCCACAAAGCACTCTGCACACCCACAGCAGGGCAGTGCACTGCCAGCACCATGCTCAACCCCAAGCACAGCCAGCACCAAAGCACAGTGCACCCACAGAGCACAGTGCACAGAAACTGGGGTGGCACAGCAGACCCCAAAGGCCAACTCTTTCATTTGGTGCTGCAGTGTGTTCTCCCTCCCAGCACACTGAGCCAGCCACCATTTCCCTCCTGATTCACTTGAGCAAGGAGCTCTCCCTTTCCCTCCAGACTTGGAGATAACACAGCTGTTGTGCTGGGAGTAGCATTTATTACATCTGAAGGGGAGTAAATAACTGGCAGAAAACCTGTGTTTGTGCACGACAACAAGGGTTTGAGTTCAGAGTGCTGCTAAGAAACCTTTCTCCAAACCCAGAGTGATCCGTGCACCATTGCAAAACAATCTCCCACGTGAAGAAAGAGCTTTAAACGAAATGGAGGTTGGCTGGAAGCAGTCATCTCATCCATCAGAAATGAGAGCTTCATCTCCAGGGGGAAGAGGCACCGCTGTCCCCCAGCCCAGGGACAGCTGCACTGCCCCACCAAGGTGCACAGAAGTGAATCAGTGCCTGGGGAAGGTGGGATTACGTTGGTGGAAGGTGCCAGCATCCTCCGTCTCGCTCTGTAATTACTCCACATGTGTAGGCAGCTGCCTGTAGTGGCAAAGCAGCGAGGGGGCGGCTGACAGCTCCTCCACCAGCTCATTAGTGCAGTCACTCCGAGGGGGAGCGCTGGTACTGGGAAATAATTACAGTGGGCTCCCCAGGCAGAATGGCTGTGCTGGGCCAGCAGGGCTGCTCCGGACACCAGGAAGGGGCAGGGCAGGCAGCACAGCCCCACTGTGCCCATGGTGTGCTATGGGGCTGTGTGGGCCAGATGAGGCATGGGAACAACAGCTGGGCAACGGGGCTGTGAAGTACGAGGGCCAGTTTTGGACTGGTGGGTTCCCAGAGCTCCGGGTGCTCACACTGCCTTGCCCTAACACAGAGTTCCAGGGGTCCTCCATGGAACACAGACACTCAGCTCCTACGTGCAGCACCTGCAGAGACCAAGGAAAGCACCTCCTTGGCTTTAGGAAATGCTGTTTTCCTCTCACTGTCAGGGCAGCAAAACGGGATGTGGGTAACACCACAGCATCTGCCCCCAGCTCCAAGTTCTCATCTCCACACTGCACCCGCTGTAACACACACAACTCCGAGCCTTTGCTGACAGCAAAGCCATCATGTTGGTTTCCTATGAGCCCACAGCTGGAGCAGCCCTGCACCATGGGCACTGCCCCCTGCTCAGCCCCACATGCAGTAACACCCCTCACTGTGATCCCAGGGCTCTGTGCAGTGCTCTCAAAGCAGGAGTGACAAAGGCGATGGTTGGAGGCAGGAGGAGAGCACAGCCAACATCCCCCATTGGTTCTCCAAAGAGCAAACACGATTCAACACAGCTGTTTTGGGACAGAACTCACCAGCACTGCCCTCTGGCCAAGGCCAACACCAAATCACACTCAAAGCTGCCAACGAGCACACGGCACAGCGATGGCACCCATGTGCCCAGGACACAGAGAGCTCTGCAAATTGCCATCAGCACAGCCCTTCGAGGGCAACACCCCTGGGACAACACCTGCGTCACCACCAAAACTGCTCCGGGACCGATCACACCAAGAGCACAGCACAGGGCCACCATCAGCACGATGCTGTAGGTCTGTGCTTTGCACAGCTGGAGATGGAGGAGGATCGGTGCACTCAGAGGGTGCCGTGGGGTGGCACGGAGACCCAACTCCTCCAACCAAAAGGCTCCATCCACAGAGCCGCTTTGCATCCTGCAGGGCCTGGCATTTCGGGTGCCCGCAGGAGCCTTCTGAACTTCCCCATCCCGACGTTCCAGGCACTAGATTCTTTTTCTGACCGTTTTCTTTTAACACCGAATGCTCAGAGGGGCTCCAGCCCGAGAGACCGAAGGTGCGGGAGCCGCGCGGATGGAAGGGGCGGCATCCCGTGCGATGTGCCGGGCTGGAGAGGTCCTCCCGGCCACGACCACCGCATCCAGCAAACCAAACCACTCGGAACAGCGCATTTTCCCCATCCGATTTAAAAACAAAAAAGCAAACCGTGAGAGCCGGAACCCGGGGAGCCGCGGAGCTAAACGGGGAGCTCACCGCTCTCGGATATCGAGAGAAAGGGAACGGCGGCCCGAAGTGACCCGGGGACGGGGTGAGGGTGGGGGGGAGGGGGAGCTGCCCCGCACCCATCCCAACTCAGAGCCGGGGGGGTCCGGCATCGCGTCCGTCCCGGGGGCTCCGCGAGCTCCGTGCGGCTGCGGGTGGAGGCGGCGAGCGGGGAGCGGAGGCGGTGCGGCCCCCCCGGCGGCGGCGGCGGCACATCCACATCCTTCTCCTCCTCCTTCTTCTCCTCCGCCTCTCGCCCCAACAACGCGCTGCCCCCGCGCCCGGCGGAGGAGGGGAAGAGAAGAGGAAAAGAGAAAGAAATAAAGAAATCAAAGCAGATGGAAGAAAGGCGAAGGGGGGGAAGCGGGAGACGCGCCGCGCGGCTCCGCACCTGTTGCGGACTTACCTTGTAGACATTCTCGGTGAGGCGGTGCACCTCCTCGGAGCGGGCCATGCCGGGCGGGCCGGGCAGCACCATGGGCGGCTGCGGCGGGGGCTGCGGGGCGGTGCGGGGTGGCGCGGATCGGGGCTGCCGGCGGGTGCGGAAAGCGGCGCAGCGGAGCGGTACCGCCGTTTTTATCAGCTCCCTCCCGCCCCGCACCGCCCCGCACCTCCACGGCCCGCCCGCGGGGAGGGGCCGCGTCCTGGGAACGCCTCTTCGTGCCCCGACCCGTTCTCCGCGTACCCCTCATCTCCATCCCATCCCATCTCCCATTCCCATTCCCATTCCCATCCCGTACCCTGTACCCCATTCCAATCCCATACTTCATTCCCATCCCCTATCACATTCCCATCCCATAACCCTTTCTGGTCCCGTACCAACTCCTATCTCATACACCATCCTACACCCCATCCCATACCCCTCACAATCTATCTATAGCCCCCGCTGTGCCTTATCCTATAGGCTCTTCCTATACCCCGATACTCTTCCCTATCCCCTTTCATGCCTCACACCACATCCCACACACCTTGTGGTGCCCTGTGCTGTGCCCCATAATTGTAGCTGCCCTGCACACCCTCCCTGCACCCCATGCTGTGCCCTGTGCTTCTGCCCACATGGTGCTGGGCAGTGAGGGGTGATGGAGGGCTGCACGGTGTTGATGTGAGATGGGGAAGGGCAGCAGAAACCATCCAAGAAAGAGTGGAGCCATCACTGCATGCCATGGCACTGTCCTTATCCTATCCCTAACCCTGTCCCTGTGACCACAGCACTGAGGTGCTGCCATGTCCAGAGGTGCCATGGCACAAACTGCTGTGGGTGTCCTCACCTGCCCTCAGGATGAACCTCCCCCCTTTTTCTCCTGCCCTAGACCCCAGGAAGCAGTGCAGCAGTTAGCAGCCAGGTGTGCTATTCTCAGCCATCTCCTCCCTCCAATCCAAAGGCTGGTGGCAGGAGCATCCCCAGATGGTCAACACCTCGTCCCCATAGCTCTGCTGCTGTCCCACTGCCTCCCCTGCACCTCTCCACATCCACCCAATGCAGAGCGGGGCGCAGCTCAGCCTGGGCGCACCTGAATCTGTCCCATCTCCAACCCAGCTCTATCCTGGTTGCATCCCTGCTTCCCACACCAGAGGACAGGGATGAATTCACACCACATGTGCAGTTTCCTACACCAGTGGGTTAACCCCTTCCCACTGAAGTTGGAGGGCAAGAGGGGAGAAGGGACCCCCTGGCTATAACTGGGTGTGTGGGACATCCAGCAGGGACCTGCCTGGTGCTGCAGGGTGCTCCTGCCCCAGGGACCAGGACCAGGACCAGGCCCAAGGCTGCTCCCATTGCCAGCAAAGTGCTTTGGAGAGAGCAGCCAGGAGCAGAAGTGCTCCACGCGCATCTCCATCGCCTTATTTTTAGTTGTGTTATGTAAGTTCTTCGCCACGTCACGGAGGTGGGGGGTTCTTGCATCTAATTCCAGTGTGACAGCCCAGCAATTCAAGCAAGCTGTTCTGCTGGAGAAGATAAAAGGATTTGTAATTTCTCATCATGGAAGAGGCCTTTTGGGACGACCCGCAGAGAATCTCGCACTGCTTCCAGCCTCCACCCAGCTCTGCTTTCTTCCCATCTCCTGCTTCTCTTTATCTCTATCCCCAGGAAATCTGAATACTGACAGCCTCCCTCCCTCACACCCCTGATCCCAAAGCTCGAAGCCTCCGGGGTTCCTTATTCTCACATTAAGGGATGGATTCCCTCTATTCCCATGGCAGCTCTCTGTGCTGCGCCCACCGCACCCCAGGGCCAGCAGCAGAACCCCTGCCTGCACCTCACACCCCAGTGCTTGCTCAACATGGAACCCAACACAAGGGAGGGGCCACATGGGACCTCAGCAGCAGTAAGGCTCAGGACCATCCCCCCCACAAACCCCCTCCCTGGCTGACGGCGCATCCACGCACGCAGCATCGTCCACCTCCAGCCCCGGGTGGAGCGAAGTTGCTGTGGCAACACCACCTTATGTAATCCACCCAGTTCGGCTGCAGGTGTGTGGAGGAATTGGTGCTATTTTAGAAGTTTCATTAGGTTCCTTCTTAATTATCAGCATGGCGTCACACCAGTGTTCCCAGCCGGGTCACGCGCCCCAGTGCTTGGAACCACAGTGGTGATGGGTGAAGGCAATGGGGCAGAGGGCTCCTCTTGGCCACTGGGGACAGGGACAGTGGTCTCTCTGCTCAGCCCCACGTCACCCCATGGCTGTGCCCCATTGGAAAGTGCAGGATGGAGGGGTTCCTTGGGGATATCACCCCAATCCAAGCGGTGCGGCACAGGGCAGGAGTGTCCCTGCAAGTGCCAACGAGATCACCAGGAAATCTCTGTGCCTTTGCTCTCATGCAGATGTCTTCTCCATCAGCGTCCTGAAAACGCTGCATGTACTCTGCTGCGAACCCTCTCCGTGCTGTGCCAGGAGTTATTTGTTTCTCAAGCCATTTTAAGATGATTTTTCTGACATCTGATGTGGCGCTTTGGGAAATCGGCCTAATGGGTTCCAGCACAACCTCAGGAGCTGCTCCTCCTGCCAGCTCGTCCTGCTCGGCTGCTTTGGCTGATGGCTCAGGCAGCTCTGATCGATGCCGTGTGCCCAGCCCTGAGCTGTGCCATGGAACCTCAGGCAGTGCCATGGAGCCCTGAGCTGTGCCAGGGAACCCCAGGATGTGCCATGCAGCACTGAGCGGTGTCATGGAGCCCCAAGCTGTGCCATGGAGCCCTGAGCTGTGCCACGGAGTGCTCAGCAGTGCCATAGAGCACTGAGCAATGCCATAGAGTCCCAAGCTGCTGCAGGGATGCCTGGTGACCTGCAATGCCCCATGGTTGATTGCATCCATCCCACACTCTTGGTCCTTCCCCACTGCCCCCAGTGCTGTACTATGCAGTGCTTCGAGGTACAGGGAAGATTTTGCCTTTGGTTTTGTAGAGTCAGGACTTCAAGTTGCGACCAAAAACTGGAGATTCCCTGTGTGTGTCAGCAACTCTCAGCCTGCTAAATCCCCCGAAGCACAAACAGCAAATCAAGTAAAGCCATTTATTGAGGATTAGCAAAGGATGAACAATTCCGGCTCTTATTTTATTAGGTGGAAGCTGTGGCACTGAAATCCAGCGCGGAGCCCAAACTGGCAGTGACAGCACTTTGGGGCCCCTGTGCAGCACTTGGCTGAGCAGCGCTCCTCCAACCCCCAAAGTAGGTCAGCATTGCATTGCAGGGCAGGGTCTGCAGGGGGAACTCGGCCGGGTGAGGTCGAGCTGGGGTCAAGCAGCAGGGAAGCAGGGGGCAGCCCCAAAAAGTCAGCTGGCCAAAGCCTGGAGGACCGGGATGCGGTGATGCCCCACTGCAGCTCCAGTCCAATGGAGTCGGGGCTGCAGGGGGTGCAGGGCTGGGCCTCCACTGCTTGGCCCCACCACGCCACTGGGCAGGCATGGCTCTGCTGGCTCCGGGTTGGCCTCAGCTCCCGGATCCGTGAGTAATGCTGCATTACAGCGCGCTAAGGAGATCTCTGGGGATACTTCTGAATAACAGGCATAGTTCATGCGATTTGCACAACGGGCACGATGGGATTTGGCATCACGTTGCTGGAGCGCGGGCTGGGGGTCACCAGGCTGGGGGGGGCTGCTTTCCCACCTGCACAGCCCCTCAATGCCAGGAGCCCTGCGCACGGGCACAGCCCCGGGATCGGCCTCCACTTGCTCCCTGTGACTCGGTGCAACCTTGGGCCTCCACCCCACAGCCGGGGACAAGGAGCGGCTCCGCTGACGGCCACACAAAGGCACAGGGTGTGCACCACCCGAGGAACCTCATTCCTCACTGTACGGGGCAGCGACAGCGTTGGTGTGGAAGGAGTGGTGACCCGAGGCTGCGTGCCCCCCAGGAGCAGCACCCGGCCCCATCTCTGCACACAGGCAGCGCTCGGAGCTGCAGAGGTCACATTCTCACACAGCCCCATAACAAACCCGCTTTGTTCCCACTGCTGCTCCAATGAGGGAATGGCACGGATTCTGCTGGGGTTTTTTTCCCCACGCTTGAACTGTCTTTGGGTGCTTTCGCCGCCGAGCAGCCAGGGGAACACCGCACCTCTGCAGCCACCAGGCTGTGCCCCTCACCCTCATTTCCACACAGGCTTCAGGAACTGTTTGAACGAGGGGGTGCAGCACCAACCCCAGCACAGCACTGCAGCCGCGTTGGCATAGAAACTGCTGCGGCTCTGTGGATGCACACAGCTCGGCTGCACCAGGAGGGGCTCAGCCCCAAATAACTCCCAGGCTGCTTCCAGAGCATCAGCAGCTGCGCTGCGGGGAAAGGAAGCTGAGCCTGAGCTTATGTGTGAGGCTGATGCTCTGCTGCTTTGTGGGCAATAGGGAATTTGAGTCCGTTTGAGGGCGACGCTGCTTGCACAACGCAGGGCAGCATCAGCACCCCCACGTCCAACACCACCATCAGGACAGGATTGGGCACTGATTGTTGCCTTGCAGATATGAGGACATGATGCCAGCAACAGGCCCTGCCCGTGGTGTGTGCTGGAGGTGTGCTACCACTGCAGCAACAGCACAACATGCAGTTTCTCTCCCAAACACGGCTCCACCTCACTCACCACCCATGGCAGGGCACTGGTACTGCTGTTACCTGGCAGCACGGTGCTTCCAAGATGCCCAACACGCAGCACTGCTCCTTTCCTGCACACGGAGCCACCTCTCAGACCTCCTGCCCAGGCCCCTCCCAGGAGCACAGAGGTGAGAAGGAAAAGGAGAAGACAACTCCAACCCATCGAAAACATTTACTGTGAAAACACGAGGCTGGAAGAGGAATCGGTGAAACCATTAGAAACTGTTTATTGTTACAGCACACCACAGAGGTCACACACCACTCCTGGCGCTTCCTCCCAAGGAGACACGGTACAATCTGTTTGGTACAGGGATTAGGAGAGGAAGCTGCTGGCAATCTGCTTGCAACTTTCCTGTGGGGAGGTCAGAGCCCGGCCTTTCCCAAAGCTGGGAGCCGCATTAACCCCCCCTGCACCACAGCCCTGATCCGAGCAGCACACAGG